AGTTTTTTAGTTGACGGAACCCTTCGTTTATTGAAAACTGTTCCATAACGAAAACGACATAAGTTACACTAATTCATTTATAAAATACGCTCAAACTTTTCGTATTCGACTTAATATTGTATCGTGAAAACATATACTAAGATATACTCAATAATAATTACATCAATATAACTTGATATATTTAGAAAGATATACGATTCTTTAATCACTCGCTCTACTGTTAATGGTACAACTTTTTATAGTTAATGTGTAAAAATCGTCGGAAATCCTGACTTTCAAACGTCTCATTAACATACCATCCGTTATTAAAACGTGCTGATTTCCTTAGATGGACCTTCCATACAAAATTTTAGTCCAAGAAATATAAGACTGAAGCAATCATACAAAAAATACTCATCTTACAATCCCTACTAATATTATAAATGCAAAAGTAACTCTGTCTGTCTGTCTGTTACGCTTTCACGAATGAATCACTGAACAGATTTTAATGAAATTTGGTACAGAGATAGAGTTGACCTTAAGAAAGAACATAGGATAGTTTTTATCCCAGACTTTTGAAAAGTTCTCTTGGAAACGTGATATAACCGAACTCCACGCAGGCGAAGCTGGCGGAAAGCTAGTCACCTATAAAATGTACTTGTAATAAATGTACAGTGGATTTCATTAATAACGACCTCGGTTGTAACGACCTTTCGGTTATAGCGACGTCGAACTTACGTCCCTAGAATTTGAAGCATACTTTCGTATAAATCCATTCGGCAATAGCGACTCCGGAAATAACGCCTAATTCGGGTATAACGACTTGTTTTTATGAACTATTTGGGACAGATTCCTAGAAATTCATTGCGGATATTGAGACGGAGTCGGCAAAGGCGCAAAAACTCATTCATCAACTTTAACTATTAAGCTTGTATTATGTAGGAATGTAAACAAAGGATAAGAATCTTTTGTTTACATTCGCAGATGGTCAAGTGATTTGTTTCTGTGTAGGATTACTTAGCACGTGCATGAAGTTAAAATTATGAATCAGTTACGTATCAATTTCCAGTGAGTAAACATCGTTTCTTAAACTTGTGAACATGGCTCCTAGACGTACATTTACTGTTAAAGAAAAAGTGGATATCATTTCGAGACTGGAAAATGGTGAAAACAATGTTGATCTGTGTAAACAATTTGGGGTTTTCATTCTACAATATCAACGATGTGGAAAAACCGCGCTAAAATTATGCAGTGTTTTGAATCAAAATCCCTGAAAATAAAGAAAAATAAATAAAAGCCTTGTATAATATAAATAAGTGATAAATAAATAACAACGTATGTATATATACATAATGTACGTGATTTTTTATTATTTCGGATATAGAGACCTCCGGATATAGCGACAACATTAAAGTGGTCCCTCCGCCGTCGTTATAACCGAAATCCACTGTAGTTTGAAATTCAATATTTATTGTATAAAATGGAATGTTTCTTTACGAATACTATAATACAATTTCTTTTTTAATAGAGTACAGAATCAAAAGCAATATCATGTTCGGATGTAACAGCTCTCAACAATAAAACGATTTAACGCTCTCGAGACGTTTTCATTTCACGCGTGTTTGTGATAACAGAAGCAACGAACTATATATATATACTACTATATATATATGTACCAATATATATATTTATATATAAATCCTCATCAGGTAATGAATTTGATAATAAATAATTAACTTCTTAAATACGATCATATATTTTACGTGCAAACATTTTTGATTTTATCACCCCACATACAAATTGAATTTATCTATCGAATTGAAATTGCGGATTGAATAAATTAAAAGTTTATAAATTAAATTTGTTAAGTACATTACATTACAAATTTAATTATCTTCTAATTTTCATCATACTATTTCATTGAGGTGTTCAGTAAGATACTACTGAGTAGCACTACTTATTGTTAGTGGACACTACAGAACAGATGAGTTCCGTTATACGTAGTTGACATGTCAATCCGTTATTAAATATAAGTAATACGAAAACTATACGTTACGGCTATTCGTTTTGTGGATCAGTAATTGATACAGCCATTATAACTGTAACGTGTTTGTCATGAAAACATTCACTTATAAATACAGTGACCGTGATACGATCACGTTATAAAGAACCAAAATTATTATAAGAATTAATTATATATATAAATATATTTGTATGTTAGTCGTAATGGCCTAGAGGTTAAGGGCCCGATTCTCGTGTATAAGGGCGCGGGTTCGAAACCTGGCAAGTACCAATGTAATGTTTTCGAGTCATTTGTACCTTCTAAGAGTATTTAGACATCACTGACAGACGGTAATAGAAGTGAATTTATAAGAATACTGAATAGAAAATGTCTACAAAAGTATGTAATATATTTTTTCACACATATATGAAATGGTATATGATAAAATATCGTTAGGATTCCATTAATGATTTTTACTATAAAAGTAATTTAAATATCAAAAACAAAATAACCAGAATTATTTTCGAAATTATGTACAAAAATCTTTGTGTATCTACCCTCAATAGTGAACGAAACGCATAGTCAATATCAAATCAATATTACGAACAAAATAACTTAATGTACACACTAATACATGTATGTACATGTACATAATATATGTAATATGATAATGATGTATAAACATGTTAATAGAGTTGTTATTCACAACTGTCATTTGTGTGCAACAGACTGTTGAGGGAAACGCGACTTCTTTGACAGACTCGTAATACTACTTAGATATATTACAAGAAGCAGAAATACGAGAAATTAAATATTATGAGATATAAGATTTATTCATTTAAATGAAACTAATAGTTTTTGGCTGTACTACACGACTTTATTTTTGCATAAAACTACGTACTCCCGACGTTTCGGCTACTTTTCAGCAACCGTGATCACGGGCAGATTAGATTTCAACGCCGATAGTATGTTAGTTGTTACACTAGTAGTTATTATACCCTAATACTTATGTTACCCTAGTACTAGTTCTGGTCGTCACCGTTCAGTAATCATTTCAAGTTTTCGATTCATTAAAGACATGATAGTATCGTATAAGTATGAATGGATAACTGGAAACGCCACGTATTCCGTATACACGAACTTGTATGTGGTTAGATTCAAAACTAAGTGTCACTCACAGAACGTAATTTTCCCATTATTATTTATGACAATATTAAACAATAAATTTTTGCACATTTTTTTTTGATTTTGGTATAATAAAGGACGAAATTCTGTCCTCACAAAACAGGTAAAGAAAAATTTACAAGCCATTAAACTAACGAAATTCTTCATAGTCTTTTTTGCTTCAAAATTTCTTGTATGGTAATAATTGAACAATGAGATTAACTTGGGCCAGAACCATTGACCGTTGTATGACGTCGGGTGGGATGCTCGTCGCCAATATGTAAGAACCATCATATATACCTTATCACAACGTCATAAGGTCGAATATCGATCGGTTTTGGAGCATCTTATAATTGCCACCACGACAATAGAGGGTCCCACGTTCGAATCTCGTTTAACGAAACTAGTGCTCTGTAACTGTGTTCTGGGATTTATTACATTGACTTCAAGTTATACTTATGACGTGGGTACTTTGAGGTTTTCTTGGAATTTTCGAACTAAATAATTTCAATAAAAAAATGTACATATAAGAAATATAACAAAATATTTTTCGATAGTTTGGAAGGTAACCGAAAAAAACGCTATCACCATGGTACTGAACCCACAGACAGAAAGGAAAATAAAATATTATTGATAGTTGAAAAGAAAAATAGTACGAAATGGAAAAAGGACTTTGACCCCAAAATTTTTATATATAAATTAGCATAAAAATACCAAAAGTAAATCGTAATAAAATATATTTGAACCTTTAGTCACACAGCTATATTGCCTCAAGGGTCTTGAAACCCAAACTCACTGAGAGCGTGATAAAAAAAACCTCCACAAGACATCAACGCGTCACGGTGAAAAATCAAACTCGAATTTTAACAGCATATTGCTAAAACGTTTTTTGAATAGATTGCATAATGACTGACATAAAAAAAAATACTAGGTTAAGTGAAAACATCAGGCCGGGTTTAAGCAATGTTATCCGTTTCCAGTCAATTACACACATGCTATGTAAATCATGCATGTGTAAGGCATTTATTTCCAAAGTCATTTTTGTTCATACATTTATTACGTTGCGCAAACTATGAAATCATATACATATATATATTGCTTACTAATTATTAATTGCCATATAAAAATTTATTTAGAATCAAGAGGAAATATCTTCATAGTAATTAGAGTTATAAATATTTATATACCTATATGTGTAGGAATGCTTATATTTATTTGGCATATTTAGCGGAGACAAATCATTGCCTCGGCGTTTTGAAACCGGTTACACCACGTGACCAGTTCCTTAATAGAAGTAACCGCAATCTACTCTGATAGATCATAGTTCTGTAATCTAACATTCCTATGATAATATATAAATATATGTATGTATATATAATATTAATTATATATATGAAAAAAAATATATACTAAAATGACAAATATTGCAATACAATTTAAATTCAAAATTGCATGTCAATCGTAATTGTTAGACTTTTTAGATTCGTAATCAAAAATTAATGATTATTAACCAATTAACTGAATATTTCATTGAATCTTGTGTGAGAAAAAAATAAGCTAAGGTAAGCTAATCTGAAAGTAGGATAAGCTGTTACTTCACTTCTAACGAGTTCCAATGAAGGCGTGTCTTTGAGTTTCGCATATTTTATAATTGAGTTTTACAAAACCGCTACAAGCAAGAGGAAGCCGCTTTTAGTGTATTTTTAACGTAATATCTCTACGAAATTAACTGGTAATATATAAAATTAAGGTCGAGCAATTAGTGATTGTTTAATTGATTTCGTGTGTATTGCATTATTTTTTGGATTTCCTCATCGAAAGTAATAATGTGGGAGTAAAATCGTTTCGAACTCACCTCAGGTGGAGCAGCGAACTTCAGATTGGCGAGAGATCCGTGTGAACGACTCCTGTGCTCCTGTCGTATGCTATATGAGAAGGCTCTTTCGTTTAGATGTCCTTTCTTTCTATATATACCGCCGGAGTCCTCGACCGCTTCCAGGCCGTTCATACTCTGAGCTGCCTTCATGGCCGAGGGCGGAGGCTTCGAGCGTCGAGGGTCCACTGTAGCGTACTGTATGCGACCTCTCCCAGGAGGGGGCACGGGAGGGAAAGGTCCTAGAGCAGCCGGCACCCGACCTCTGTGACCCATGGTCGCGTGTCGCACGTGAGGCAGTGTGGCCGCGGGGTGCGCAACCAGTAGCATATGCCCTGCATGGCCGGGGTGACCCGGGTGGCCGGCAGCTGCCCAGGCAGGAGGAGCTCGCCCCAACGACCTACCGTTCATGACGGGAGCCGGACCCGGCATAGTAGCGTACAACTCGTCCACGGACGCCGCTGACTTCTTCTTAGACTTCTTGGAGGTGGACTTCTTCTTGGGCTCCTCGGGCGGAGGGGGCGGAGGAGGCACGGAGGCCGGTCTTGTAATCTGACGCGGTCGCGGTGCCCGTGTCGGATGAGGCATTTCGTCGCTTGCGTCATCACGCTCCACTTCGCCGACCCAAACTTTATGATTTTCGTCTCCGTCGTACACTTCCAGCTCCTCGTCGGCCTCCGGCGGTAGTTGTGACGGGGAGCGCTCGGCCTCCAATCGTTTTGCATACGAGCTGTCAGCGTAAGCATGAAAACAGCATCTGACGAGTGCATTGGCAGCCGCTTCGCGACGACAAATAAATGCATGACATTCTAATACTTTTATGCCCTGTGTGCGACGTAGCACAGCAGCAAATAAAGGCGGACGCCTCGGAGCCGGCGCCCTAGCAAAAGGAGAATCTAAAGGTAAAAATCTAGGTTGCCCCTCGACACTTACACGTCTTACGGCCGCGCAATAATGCAAACTAGATATTGGGAAGAACCTTGATACTCTCGAGCCACTTTCGTCGACGTTCTCTAACAAAATTCCGTTTGACCATACGGAGAGCCATGAATCTATACCACCGCTGGTCGCCCCCTTTTCCGGATACAGTTCACGCAGGGGCTCCTGTATGCCCTGTAGGCCGTCCTTGCTCTGCTGGGGCACCGCTGAGCCCAGGTACAGTACGCGGCACCGACAGATCGGCGTCGATTCCATTTTAAACACAACACTATCACATGACACACAATTACTGAAGCACTGATGATAACTGTTGCGTCGCTCCTGGTGTGAACTATCAACGTGCGCCCGCGAGACGGTCGGGGTGTGAGTGAACGGAATTCAAGATGGCCGGCGAGTGGTCGCGGCTGGCGGGGAGCGGGGGGAGGCTTACCTGCGCTTACGCACCTGTGAAGACGCCTCTAGGGTTATAGGTAGGTAAACGGTGCCGATGAACCAACATTGTGTCAAATGATTCGTCGCGAATTCGGTCGCATTTAGCGCCAACGACGCGTCACCACATACACGGACGTGCTGGAATGTTATAATTTTGTACATCTGTAGTGAAAACTCAAGGTCTGTTGGCTGATCTGATACACGGCGAACAAGACTTATAGCAAGACTACAACACTGCTCAAAACAATAAGAAATTGAACGCAAAACAAGAGCACTTACATTCATTTATTATTTAAATTCTATAAAATCACTAAGCATATAATATTTTTATCACACAATAAATTTATACGAGACAAGACCATGTCTTTCAAGATTAAAAATAAAATCCGTCAGCGATATATTGCCTCAAGTTCTAAGAACGTATGTCTGGCTGTTTTGAATTAATAATAAATAACTTATAAGACAGCTCATCAATAACACGAGAAGAAAAAACGTTTATCTCTTTGAGAGAAAAAAATATCAAAATTACATATATACATATATATATGTTAACTTTTATGTTTATATGACTTTCATTCATTCTCAACTCATTTATAGAATGAATATTAGGCTTAAGTCTTAAGAAAACTTGAAATCTAATAATTTTAATCCAACTTAAAATTACTAGTTTGGTGTTATAAAAATAGTAATATAGAATTAGAACAATTAAATCTAAGTCTTTGTAAAGAAAACCAATGCCTTTTATGCCTTTATACAAAAAATCAAACAAAACTAATTCATATATAAGACATTTTAATGTAAACAAAAATTTCTTTCACTTAATGTAATATCTTTGATTAAGAAAGAAAAAATTATAACTATTATTTTCTTTTTTTATTTTTATTATACATATATAAAGCAAACGATGATTACTTTATTGGTATAAATTTTTCTCAGTCAATGTATGTATATATTTTTATAATGTCACTGCTTTGTCAAAGTCAAAAGCTGAGATAAATAAAATATAGAAGTTATTGAACTTTTGTTATATACTTACATATATACACTTACATATATATGTATGTGCTGATAGAAAACATAACTCTTCGTAATTTGATCACAGTCGGTTGATCCAATTCCAGAAGTTTCTATGTAGATATTATAAACTCAGGTTCTTCCCAAAAAATTCGCATAAACTAATTATAATGATTTTTATATAATGTACCATTACTTTATATTAACAAACGACTTTATTATTTCTAAATATCATTTATAAATGTTTTTTTAATAAGTACATTTAAATGGAAAAACATTAAGTGACGTCATTATAACGTTTTAATGAAGTTACGTAATCATACAATTAATATTAAATTAATTATATGTCCATTTATAGAATAATAGCTTCTACTATATCCATTACAAGATATTTCTACTTTTCTAGAACTTAATTGACTATATTATTAGTTTTGATGTACATATTGATAATTTCTACATGGCAATTTCCCAGTTTTAGCCAGGGTCTGCCTTATGTTTGTGAATAGTTTTGGCTAATTGTTTTTACAACCGGCCGCCTGCCTGAGATCAACCCTCTTTGAATGCATTAATCAGTGATGCCTAAATACTCTTATAATGTACATATGACTTGGAAAAATCACATTGGTACTTGCCAGGATCGAACCCGCGCTCTCGTGCATACAAAAGACATTTAATTGTTTAATTATATAATATAAGCAATATTCAATATAAAAATTATTAATTTACAAGAATTGTAACAATATATATAAAAGGTAAAAAACATAATTCGTACACTGAACGCAGCTATAATTATTTTTAAATTTCGAACACAAATATATTATGAATGATTGGTTTTTATTTAAATGAAATCCAGAATGAACTCACACACGTTTATATCAAAAATCTTAACTTATACGTTGTTATATGAACAGATATTATAACATAGATACATCTATGGTTGCTAATATACATATATATGTATATATATTATTTATTTTCATAGTCCAAGAGCTGTCCTAGCATTATTTAATATCTAGGTGTTTTAAAGTTACTCTCATCCCCTGGATATTGTGGTGCTTTACGCTTCTGTATAATATTTTGTATCTGTAACAAAAAAAAAACAATTAAATTATAAAACACCTGAAAAATTATCGTTTTGTATGGAAAGTGTTTTTTTTTCTTAATTAATATATAAATAACCTGTTGCCATTCTCTGTCGAGTTCTGCCTTTTCGCTTTTGTCCTTGGTTTTCCTCGTCTTACGGCCATCTTGTGTTTTGACGCCATATTGGAAAGCAGCCTTTGGTAGTGCTTCTTTGCTACTCATGTAGTCAGAATACTCCTCTTGAGTGTCGAAATCCCAACGACCTTTATTTAGATAAAAATAATTTTAACTATTATTTACTAACATATAATATATATTGAACACTACATGAAGCCATGCAATCACATCACACATGTATATAACTCCCTATGTTTTCTTTATTAATAAAATTTCATGTACTTAGTGTAAATATATTATGTATGAGCCATAATAAAATGTACAGCTTGTGTATAAATTGTATACATTGTGTAATCACTTTATCTATTTAGCATGATATGCAACTATACAAGGATATTGTTAAATTTCTTTATAAATCCTAAAAGAAAAGAACTTTATATGTTAAATTGTGCGTGCCAGTCACAAAATAATTATTAATATTGTATATAGTTATAAATTTCAAATAAATATATTATCTATAGTACATATCTTCAAGCATAGCACATATATCCACACTTTAACAAATATATGGCTTACTATAAATATCTTTTAACGAGAAGTTGATCCATTAATTTGATTTCGTATCTGTTGTACATTAAAAAAAATAGTCCGTCATTACCGATAGGTCCTTTCTTATTTCCGGCGTCCATTTTAGTGTAGTCGACTTCGTCGTCTGAATCGTCAATAGCGTCATCCATTTCCCTCAGCCCTGGGTAACACTCGGCGTAGCCCTCGGGCTCCGCTGCCAGCCGAGAGAGGAGCGCCGCCGAGCGACGGTCTTTCTCCGTACGACGACCTACTAACGGCCCTGTAAATAATAAAACCATATGTATATATTACAAAATGTAAATAGGTCACAGAGTATAAAAAACAACTAATATATACAAAAAACTGGTATTGAAAACATATTATATAAGCTTTTAAATCACATCTCGTCTGCCCGTGATCATGATTGCTGAAAAGTTGCCGAAACGTCGGGATTATGTAGTTTTTTTCAATAATAAAGCACGCGTAGTATAAACCGAAAAATATTAGTTTCATTTAAATGAATAAAAGTCACGATAATCTTAATCTAATTATGTGAAAATCTCATTGTGTGAAACAGTACGGACTGAAAATTGCGAACATTATATAGACTTTCACATAATGATTCCCTCGACTTCAAAAAAGAAGCATCTTGTTCATCAAAGTTCTTCTTGATATTTATTTTAATCATTCCAAATCCAAATTTAAATTATTTTTTTTAAAACTCCTCGCTTTTTATAATGTCAACGGCACACAGCATACAGCCAATAAATAAATATATAATACCTTCTTCCTTCTCCGTCTCCAGTGGTTTATCAAAGTATCCGGTCCTCGGTCGTTCATCACGTCTATCACTTCGCCTGTCACCTGCCACATAATCCCCAATATCGCCATATATGGAATCATCATTGCGACCCTTCTCTGTATTTTTGTCCTGAAATATACATATAAAACGTTATGTGTACCTTTTAATATACAGTGTAAACTCTATATAACGATACTGAAGGGACTGTGCATTTTATGGCGTTATAGAGAGTTGTCGTTAAATAGAGATAAGACAAATTAGAATTAGAAAAAGACAAAGTATATTTCAGACTAGTGTTAGTACTTATGTACATAAAAAAGAACTAATTTTAGCAACTTAAAATGTACTTTTTATTATTTAATTGTTGTCGTTATTGAGATTGGGTGTGATGCTATGTAGAGTGTATTATTGTATGGTAGACAAGCTAAACCAACCAAAGTCAAATTTCGATTTCGACGCTTTAGAGAGTTTGTCGTTGAATCGAGTGACGTTACATGGAGTTTACACTGTATGTACTTAAAAATTACCTGAGTTCCATTTAAATTTCATAACAATATAATCATTAATACAAAAATATGTTATAGTACCTTCGTCTTTTTAAGCTTCCTGTGTCGGCCGTGTCTCAAATATGAGAATATCTGTGACAGTTTCTCAATAACCACGTCGTTGGAAGCGGAAGCTGATGTCCGTTCATCCATTTCCGGTACATCCGCCTTGCTCCTCGTGAGGGTAGTCGGTATATCGCTGTCTATGGTCCCCTCGTCATCCAATTCAACAACATAAGCCATACGACCCGGAGCGAACAGTTCGTTGCGAGTAATCTTCTTGTTCCTACAATTTATTTCTAGCATTAGAATTTTTAAAAATGGAACGTGAATGGAAATTAACTAAACTCAAAAATGGAACGACAAAACAAGTATCAATAAAACACTTACTTCTGCTCCATAATGAGATTGTAAATGTTTCTAGCCATCGGATTTTCGAACTGTATTTCCTCTTCCTGTATTTAAAGAAATATATGTTAAAATATGTAAGTAAATAATTTACACATATATGTAATATTAATTACCACTGGCAACACTTCTTTCTTCTCTGGTATAGCTTCTATGGGAGCTGATACAAGACGTTCCATTTCCAATTCTTGTTCAGTTTCCCGAGTTTGGATTTCAGAGCGGACCTGATTTAAATAAAAAAAATCATAAAATAAAATGCTTATTTTTCTTATTTCATAGGCCTAACTCTGTAGAAAAATTACATATTAATTACCTAGTTATGCTTTAGATATAAATAATTATTAATTTACTAAAACTAAATTTTATACATTACAATGTACATTGGAACTGTCATGCATAATGTCTTAAATTAAAAGGCAGAAATACATTGATTTGTAAAGACTTGTATATTACGTATATAAATATTTTAAGATCAAAATTATACCAATATGTTTCTGGGTTAAGGCTTTATGATAATTTTACCTTCTGCAGCAGAGCATAATCAAGACCCTTCACCAAGTGAGTATGCTCCATATCACCACCAAGATATTTAGATTCCTGAAATCATATTTTTATATTAAAATTACTTATTTTATCCCTACTAATATTATAAATGCGAAAGTAACTATGTCTGTCTGTCTGTCAGGCTTTCACGCCTAAGCCACTGAACTGATTTTAATGAAATTTGGTACAGATAGAGTCGACCTTGAGAAAGAAGATAGGATAGTTTTTATCCCAGACTTTTGAATGGTTCTCTTGGAAACGCGATATAACCGAACTAAACGCGGGCGAAACTGCGGGCGGAAAGCTAGTAACAAAATATATGAGACAAATTTTACGATTATATTTCACCTGAATCATTTGTCGCCGCCGTTCCTTTGCATCCATTCCTGACTTAGCATCTGGTGCTACTGCCCTGGAATACAAATATACAATAATTGTATAAGCAATGTATTATGTATGTATATATTAAATCACAACTTTACTATCTACTAGCAATGAGATATCTTCGGGGATAATGCAAATCCGTTTAACTACTATTGGATAATTCCGCATATGTACATTGGAAGCAGATTATAAGAAGAAAGTTTAAGCTGAAATATTTTTTTATATTAACAACTTCTAAGGTATTTTTTCACAATCTAATAATTAATTACTGATTGTGATAAATTTACCTAAAAATTCGTTAATATAGAAAATATTTCATCTTCAACTTTCTACTGATAATCTGCTTCCTTTGCAGATACGGAATTATCCAATACTAGTTAAACAGATTTGCACTATCCCTGATGATATACATCTATAATCAAAAAGAATGATTATGCAAAACAAAATCTATATGAGAATATTTCTTGACTTATTTTGTTTAAGTCACAATAAAATAGTTTAATATTACTTAATATTAACCTGTAAGCACTGCTTGTATTGCTTGTAGGGTCAACGGCTAAATCGTTGACACCATCACGTCTTTCCCTTGCACGATCCCTATATTTCTCTGCCAGCTCGGCAAGCTTATTGTCTTCCTGCTTCTTGAGTGCGGCGTAATAGGATTTCTTTTTACGTCTTAATTCACTCTTGTTTTCCACCGGTGGAGGCATGGTGCTATAAAAAAAAACTTTTGTTTTAATCTGTATCACTTGTTACATATAATCGTTTTTTGATCATAATATTTATTACATTTTTTAATATTTTCATGTATGTCATGATAATCTAACACAATTACAGATTTTAAAAATAAGTAATGATATATTTGTATATTTTTAACAACAATTTTTCATCTTAGCAAGTACAGTGAGCTAAAAATTTGTTAGAAAATTGCCAAACAGGAATATTTTTGTTATAAATAGTATCAATGATCTTATTTTACTCTAGTGTTTTGAAACAACAGACAATTACCGGTAGCCCAACAATATTTTGTAGGGCAGTATCAAACTATCCAATCTTTAGTATTATAGACTGCCTAAGACACCCTATTTTCAGAACTTTTTTACAAAAGAGTACCTTGTCATCTGCAAAATTTCAGGCTCAATGATAAGATTACAAGACTCTTGCATGTATGTATGGTGTCAAAGTAAGCAATCGAAATCAAAACAAAAAACTACGCATTGAGCACTATAATGATGGTGCATACAAGTTTTAACTTGTTTATTTGATTTGATTGTTGGATTATAGGGGTGCCAGATTAGCTACGGGCTGGAGTATCGGACCTCCACTGAATAATAATATCTTTTTCATAACAAAAATAAAAGATTCTTCTGTAATTTATCACTGAATCTTGAGCACATTATTTCACATAACATTTTATATGTAGATGATGGTGATGCAATAAAATGTATTAAAAAAATTAATAAAAGTTACCCAAAAATGCAAGATAATGTACTCGTAACATTATGAGCACCAAGAAACAGCTATTAAGTCAAGATCACAGCTATAGAGTAGGTAAAATTAAATAGCACAGTAGTTCAACATCCATAAAAATACCATCTCATTAAAACTAATCGAGTTTTAAATATTTGCTTTAAAAACTTCATAATAACTAAACTACAGCTGCGTGCAAAAGTATTAGGCACCCCTATTGTTAGTCACTATCTCATTAGATAGCGGTCAAGTGTGTGTTTTATGGTTTGGCTATTGTATTAGCGACAATTTTTAACCAAATTAAGATAAAAGAAAATATTTTTGACATCCAGGTGTGCTCCTAAGCGGTGTTTCTTCAAATTTGCTTTTTTTGCGTTTCGGGTTATAGTGTGTTATCAGTGCTTGCAGTGAACATACACGTCTTCTACGCAACTATTCCTATCACAATTCTAAAGACTAACATTTAACGTGTTAATCATGCCGAAAAAATCTGAACTTAGTGCTGAACAGCGTCTAAGAATTAAGATTTTACATGAACAAGGCATGTCTCAGGTTAAAATAGCCCGAGAAGTGAAGTGCTCGCGATGTGCAGTTCAATATGCTATAAATCGCTTCAAAGAGACTGGCACCCATGAAAGTAGACCAAGAACAGGCAGAAGAAAAGTTACTACTGAACGGGAAGATCGATTGTTGATTAGGCAGTCTCTACAAAACAGGAAAAACACTGCTTTAGAGCTCGCTGCAGCATTATCTGAGGCAAAAGGCAGCTCAGTGAGTGTTTATACTGTGAGAAGAAGACTTATTAAAGCTGGATTAAAAGGATGTAAAGCAAGGAAGAAGCCGTGGCTGTCAGAACACAATAAGAAAAATCGGTTGGAGTGGGCACTCAAACATAGAGATTGGTCAGTGGAAGATTGGTCCAACATACTGTGGTCAGACGAATCTAACTTTGAGGTATTGTTATTTATTTTATGTACAATATTAAAACACATAAATGTTTTTAAAATAACGTACTGCAAGAAAAATAATAACTTTGAAAATAAATGGGTTTTTTTCGATTGGCATAGGTGTTTGGAACACCCGGTGTGACTTATGTTAGGCGAAGGGTTGGCGAAGAATACAACCCAGAATGTGTGGTTCCCACTGTTAAGCATGTTGGAGGCTCAATAATGATCTGGGGCTGCATGGCTGCCGACGGAGTGGGCGAAATGGTGTTGTGTGAGGGACGAATGAATAGTGTTAAATACACTGAAGTTCTGGAAACAGAACTAGCAACGTCGATAACGCAAATTTTCGGTGATACAAACACCGATGGCCTGAAATTTCAGCAAGACAACGCCACTTGCCACAAGTCCGCGCATACCATGAAGTGGTTTGCTGAAAATCATATTGATCTTTTGGACTGGCCACCACAATCACCAGACCTCAACCCGATTGAGCATATTTGGTCCATTTTAAAGAAAAATATCCGCAGGCACTCGATTAGCAATAAACAAGCTCTATTGGCCGCGTTACAGCAGGAATGGAAAAATATATCAAGAAAAGAATGTTTCAGGCTGGTAGAGTCAATGCCAAAAAGAGTGGCTGCGGTTATTAAGTCAAAAGGTGGACTTACAAAATATTAATTATTTTCTTAAAATAAACCATTGTAAACATAAATGCAGTTTTATTTACACTCGCCATGCTAAAACACCCTAAAACTTGTCTTAGTGTAGGGTGCCTAATACTTTTGCCCGTGGCTGTACTATACTCAAAAAAAATGAGTATTTGTTGGTAGAAAGACTTAGTTTTAATTGCAGTAAAAAAGCATAAGTAACACACCTTTTTTATTAATTTGGGCTTATATAATGTATATTATAAAAACATATATATTTAAAAAAAACTAGCAGGTTTACAAAAAAGTTTATCAAGCTTAAATGACATACATGTACATCTGTGATAGTTGCTATGCAAAGTTTAAAAAGCATCACTTGTCGCAGGTAAAACATACATAAAATTAAAACTTAAATTGCCTCTACTGAAAATAGTAATTATGCACATTGGCCCTTATAGGAGCCATCGATACTGTTTTACGTAATTTTTTTGTAAAACGTGATGATTAAAATGTGAATATTTTACCCAGCATTAGCCATGGCTTCCCGAATTGATCCATCTCCCCGACTACCACCAGACGGAGTGGAGCGAGGAGTCATCAACAACTTCCTGAAGTCATCGTTAGTGAGCCTCTGAGACACCGGAGTGTCATCAACACTTCTGTCCTCCATGTTTCAGTTATATTTCAACCAATCTAGCTGAAATGAGAAAATACAGGATAAAAAAGAGATAACAATTACTTTATAGCATTTAAAAGATACCTGACAAAGCAATTGCTTATTAATTAAAATGTAAACCAATACAAGGACTCAATAATGGTAAGAGTTTTGGGCTTAACAACCATGCTCCACAATAGCCTTATAGCTATTTAAGATTTTAGAAACCCCTTCACTCAAAATAAGAGTGGTTATGTCAGAATAATATCTCTTAAATACTTACTAGGTATATACTATTTAGTACTAATTTAATACATACCTTTAATGTAATATTCTGATCCGCGTCTTCGTATTGTTCCGATTCTGACGGGCTTCCTGATTTTGACAGATAACTTGTCAAATTGTAATTTATATGTCAACACGATAGATTATACAAAAAAATTATTTATTCATTATTTCTATTCTAAGGTTCACTTAGACTAGAAATAATGAATATATAAAACAGAAATATACGTAATATTAATTTTTATATTTAAAGTTTTTTAATAATTTTTTTTAACTCTTTTTATAAATAATGTAAGTCTAAAACTTTTAAGGCTTTAAACAGTTACAAAAGCACACCATTTTACAAACAATAGAAAAAATGTTAATAAAAACAAAACAATAATGGAAACCTGTTTTTATTGTAGGTATAAACTTAGTGTTTAATTTTCATATCTTAGTCTATGATGATCATTGAATCTCTTATGTAATTTAACTAGAAATATTAGTAGGTAATTTACATATTATTTGTTGTTGATTATTAGCCTTCAAAAGGTCACGATATTTAATTTACATTTAACAATAACAACAGTCAACAACGTTCTCTAGCTGAAAAGTGAAGTAAAGATATTAGTAAATTCTATCTCAACCGGTCTGATACCTACATATTAAATATGCCGCATTTAAGGATCGAAACGAATGTATCCAAAAGTAAAATACCTGAAGACTTCGTTACTAAAGCAATTCCAATTTTAGCGAATAGTCTTGGGAAACCTGCTCAGGTAAGCTTATCGACAATTTATTAACATTCCATTTAATAAGAAAAGGAAGGAATTCCTACAAAAATATAATAAATTCTGTTTTAGTTTTGTGTGGTCTCCATTATACCTGATGTTCAAATGTGTTTTGGTGGTTCCAATGCTCCATGTGCCACGGCAAGCTTAATGTCAATTGGGGCTCTTGGTCTGAATGAAAACAAAAAACATTCAAAAGTTTTGTTTGAATTGATTGAAAAAGAGCTGGGTGTTCCTAAAGACAGGTACATCTTCAATTAGCTTGAAAATAATTAATTAATTAACAAATACATTATTTTGTATATTGCATATTTTGTTGTGAATTATTCTTTGTATATTTTATATTTCAGCTGCATTTTTCTTTATATTTAAGTTGATACCAAATTAAAATTTAAAATCCGGTTCTACATATTATAATTGTGTTTTTTTTTAGGATATTTAAACTAAAATTGTTTTTATCAATATCATAATACTTTGAATATTAAAATTTTTATTTTCTGTGTTATTAATATATGAGTGTTATTTTTATTAAAATCATTTCTTTTTTCAGAATGTATATAACATACCAAAATGAACCGTCCTCTAATGTTGGTTTCAAGGGTACAACTTTCCATGACATTATTGGATAATTCTAATATTACTCTCATCCAAATCTACTGAGATCTTTCAGTTGGAAATATTAATATTGTTTTATTAAAATTGTTACATATTAAAAAAAAACAATTTCAATCAGTTATTTGTTTATTATATTTATAATTGAGGAAAAAATATTTTAAAAACACTGAAGTTTTATTAATTATTGTACAATATTCATACATACCTATCATCAACTAACTGCTTATAAAATTATATTCCTTTATTTTTAATTCAATCTTGACTCATTTGGCAACTAACTAACTCAGATGGAAAATAATATTTTTTGTAAATAAATCATCTATAAAATATGAAGTGTTAATTTTAAGATACACTAGCCAGATCTTAATAGATTAAGTTGTTTGTCAGCAGATGAATAATCTGAAAAATGGAAGCATCTACTAAAAAAATATATTTATTGACTATTGTCATGGTGCAGATAGTAAATCAGTTGTTGTAAATATAAAGAACGCTATAAAGCATTTCAGTTAATGTGTTACCCAGTCCACAAAACTCAATACACTAAATGAGAAGTAAATTTTTACTTCCTTTCATTTTATCTTAATATAAATAAATTACAGCCATAGCCCATATCTAATGAAAAATGTACATTGGAAGTTTCATTTTGGCCGATAGTAAAATTTATCATTAAATAAATGTGATGCTAGAAGTTACGTCATAAAATTATTTAATCCTACAAATTTATAAATAAAAACAGAATTAAATAAATTTTTTGACAATAATTTCATATTCATACATAATAATAAACAACTATTACTCATTAGTCAGAACTCATAATTAAGCCAAAACTGATGAAACCGATGCTACAATAGACATTTGATATTTATGAACAATATAAGTGTCATTATGTCTTGTATTTTGACTTGGTAGATACGTAGTTCCCCGCTACGAAACGCCTTTAAGGAAAGGTGTTGCTATCGGAATTATTAAATTTAGTAGCTGAACTCGTGTTATTGCAATTTTTTGAACAACACTACTGTAAAGCTGCAAAATAAAATAATGTTAATGAATTTTAAATGTATATTATAAACATTTGTTGTGCTAAATGGAGTACTAGTGATAGATAATATGAATGCATCGAGATGGAAAAGGATTTAAGAAAATTAATCAAAAAACGCTTGAGAATAGTGGAAATGTGGTTATGGACAGAAATAGTATAAGCAACTAAAATGATATTTAGTATTTAAAGTAATAAAAACTAAATAAAGTATCTTGAGACGCTTAATCAGTATAAAGACCTATCTATTATATGCATTGCGATAAAGTAACGGGAATGCCAACTATTCGTGTGGAGAAAAAAACATTTTGAAGCAGGTCTCTGTAACAGATAAACTTAAGTAGAATTATAAAAAGAAAAATGTATAAGAAGGCACATAAAAATATATTCGTGACAAAAAATGCAACAGAAATCTAGTGTTTTATCATATGTCTTATTACAGGCATTTTTTTATTTTATATAATTTTTGATTACATATTAATTCCCAACATTTTTTAAGCCACAAATAGCTTTCCGTCTTGAATAAAATATAAATTGTTTTTGTTGTCAATTGAACATAGACAATCACGGAGGGATAACGATTTCAAATGTCAAACATTCTTTTATAATCTACATTTCAAGCGGGGAAATACCTAAATTGTGTACATAGTCGGGATATATATATATTAGTTTTAAACGTTTTCCATTTAGGATCCGATCAGTATTCAGTAGTGACTTCCCGGTTTTGTTGGATTAAACTATCTTAATAGTTATTGGTGTATTTCAAATTTATTCAAATTTCAAAGTAGTTACTTTTATCATGGGTGGCAGTAATTCCAAAAATGAGTGTAACCAGGGAAAATCAAATAACAACAATCAAGAGAACACGAGGTAAAAAGTTACTTGGTAATTTGTATATTTAAAATTTTCCACATCAGTATTTTTTGACACTGATAAAATGTTGATTTTTGCATTTAAGACAAAGACTTTATACAGAAGACGAACTCCAAAGAGTCCTACAATATCAAAAAAGGTTATATAACGAGAAACTATTGGCAGGACAAAACAGGTAAATTTTTTAAATAACCATCTTGTAGGTTACACATGAGGTAATATTACAATATTAATGTTTTAATTTGTGTAAAAATCGGTTATGCAAATTTAAGATCTCTTCTATCTTTTCTTGATGATGGATGTGTGCCTTTGAACTTTATATCCTATATTTATGATCTATTATTATTAAAAGAATTATAAAACTTTAATTTTCAGGATATACCCCAATTTACAATCAGAATTAACTAATTCACCAAGTACTTCAAATAGTTGCAAGTAAGTTATAAACATGTTTATTTATTTAGATATATTGTTTATGTTAAAACTCAATGCCTTCAAATTGCGTGAAAGCATGCTATTTTGTTATATTAAATTATAAATGCAGTATTAAGATAATTTTATTCATAATATTGTTTTTTTTTTCATTCATTTAAGAACACACATGTACCTAATTACCTAAATACACATGTACTGGACTACCTTATTATAATTACTTAGATTATATTTAGTTTAGAAAATGTAATGATTTAGGCTCACATTTTGGTTCACTTATATAAATTAGTGCTGCCATTAAGTATGTATACAATCTAAATGCTTGTTTAATAGTTCTAAAGAAAAACTAATCAAGTAACATTTACATACATCTCCAATTATAAATTAAATACTAATGATTTCTTTATCAAGAGTAACTTGAAGAGTATTGGTATTACTAATTACTTTTTTCATTATTGATATCATTATCAGTACTTGCTTGAAGGACAATTGGACTTAACAAAGAAGATGTCTAAGTATGGTCTCCTCTCCACTTTTCCATATCCTGAACTGGAAAACCAAAATTTTTCTTATAGATAATCAAAACAACTATTTTACACAGTTTGTGTGAATGTATATTGATCTAATTATATTATATTTGAATACATATTATACTTACATAGTAAATCACAGATGATGCAACAGTTGGTAACATTATATATAAAATATTGATAATATTTATATATATTTTTATTATATAAAAATCCATTATTGCAGTAATATGAAGTAGCTAAGTATCACATTAGTATAGTGCATTTTTATTACCTAATTAAATGTTATACATCACATTGATAGGGTATTAGAATAAAAAAACCTCAAAAACATTGTAAGAATATCATATTAATGAAAAATAATCCTTTGTTTACAGTATAATGCCGACAGCACCTCCAATGTTTCTTTTACACACAACCGAGACCCAAACATCAGGAGCAGCTAGTCAAATTATTCCTTTGCATGAACCTGCTCAGAAGTATATTTTGCTTTTAATTTTTTTATAAGAAAATCAGTAAAGTTATCATAAAATAACATTCTATATTTAAAAAAAAGATTTTTCCAATCATTCTTTTTTCATCATATAATATAGGGTATACCTTAGTTTAAGTTAAGAGTTTTTTACCCAGCTGTGATTAAGTTATATATAGACAAAGATAATGTTATAATATATGCTTCAAATTAACCTGATATTTATGCTGTATTGATTGTTTTGTTTTAGACATGAATATCCAACTCCAGGTCCTTCGACATCAACTTTAGTTTCACAAGAATCAAATAATCAAAGACGCAATACCAAACCAAAGCAAAGAGCTAACAGTTCCTCGCGAATGTAAGTTGTTAAAAATTCTGTGTGTTGGTAAAATTGTTAAAAGTTTTCAGAATTTCCAAAGAGTATATAATAAAAGTTTATTACATTGCTTTTGTAAAAATAAACAACCTTATTTACATCAAGATTAACACAATTATATTTAAGACACAGTAACTATATTTTATTAGATAAACTTGTTAGAACAAACCAATCCAGATATTTGAGCCATGTGTTTGTGAAATCTGACTCTAAAATATTCTCTTAAAGGACAAATAGAAGAACATTTGTTCACTGTGTTACTTGCAAGGGAGAGTTTGGTACAAATATTTATCAGTGTAACAATGGGCATAGCTCTTGCCAAGACTGCAAATCCAAGATGAAAAATTGTGGTACATGTAGTGAAATTATCACAAATATGAGAAACATCACACTTGAGGCGACTATTGCTCCTAACATTGTAGATGACATGGTGAGAAATTGTTACACTTATACTAACACTGATATAGTAAGTAACTCATAATGAAAGTCACTAACAAAATGAAATATTATTACTTTTGTTTAATAATGATCCACAGATTTTCTTTCTTGCCTCTTAAAAATTTTATAATGTATGTGCATGTTATTTATAATTGCTGTTTAAATTAATACAAAATTCTAATTAAGAGTCTGCATTACATTAAAAGCCTTTGCTTCACAGAGAACAAAACCGTGTTCATTTAAGAATCGTGGTTGCGTACTTAATTTTCGAATGGATGACATGGAGGCTCATCTGACTGAATGTATATTCAGTGATCTAACCTGCCCTTCAAATGATATAAATAATTCCTGTAACTGGAAAGGTAAAAAGTAGTTTTAGCTCACATACAATCATTTTTATTTTACAATTAATTAAATATACATATACTTATCAAAAGTATATTTATCAGTATAGTTAGTTACCAAAATCTTATATGCTTAGATCTTTAAAAAAATTACTTGAAAGGTCAATAAATAATATTAAATGTACTTAAAATTATGTGTTTCTGGTCTATAAAACATCCAATATTTTTGTTAGTTTTTGCAACATTAATTTGTTTTAGTGAATTTTGTAATTGTATTAAAAATTCTCAGATTTACCAATTGTAAAACCAATGAAGTGAAATATACCAGGTGTATGTCCAAAGCATAATTTTTCCTCCTACTAGACTTAAGATTGAGTAATTTAAATGCATCTATACAATAATATGTTACTTATTCTTATTTTCAGGAATGATGAAGGATGTTTTTGGACACCTCTATAACATGCACCCAGAAAACTGCCAGGCTGAAGTTAACAAAGAAATGTCATTTCTGCTAAGCAGCTTGGATTACAAAGTTTTTCATGTAATCACTATTAATAATTTCCACTTTATACTTCATATACAAATTGATACATCCCTTAACAACATTTACATGGCTGTACAATGTCTTGGTACTAAAGTCCAAGCATCCAAATGGGCTTATGAATTACATATATACCAAAAGAAAACTCCCCGTCGTAAATTTGAATACATTGACATTTGTCAGCCACTTGGGACACCAGTGTCCGATATAATTACAGCCTGTAATTGTGCCATCATCAATATAAATCATGCAAAAACTTTCCTGGATTCTGGCAAGATGACTTATAAGGTTTATATTAAGAAAAATTATGTGAATAAATAAATGATGTGTGCCACTATATAAACATATAACCATTTATAACCACACTTATAAATATCATTATATTGACATAGTTCCTTATTATATTGGTTTGATTATTATATGTTAGCAATAAGAGTATTATTAGCTTTACTTTTTTTAAATCTTGGTTGGTTATTCATTTTTTATGTACTGTTTCATTCTATTATTCCTCTACTAAAAAGTTGTATCATAAAAAAAAATATATTTCAACTACTACCTGTAAAGTTGCATTATTATATTAAAAATAATGTTACTGTTACTAATGCATACTTTGAAATAAAACAAAAAAATAATATTTAATAGCCATTACATTTTATTCATACATAAGCTCCATTATCTAGTTCTACAGGGTGATGGGTACGCAATATCTAAGTTTAAACTCGATGGGCTCTAATTAATTTCAATAGAATAATAAATAATTGAAATGTAATATCAATAGAACATTACAAGTTGAACACATTTAGAAAGTATAAGATTCATAATATTAAAACAAGGACACTTATTCAATAAAACTCCTTTTATACTCTTCAGACCATAGGTGTACATTAGTTTTTCTTATCAGAATTATGTATATGTATTAGTTCAAGTATCTATCTATTTTCTTAATGAATTATATTCTTCAGAATATCTTTTTCTTGTCTTTGTATTATTGTTGCTAAGCTTTTTAATTTCTTAATAAATTTAAGTTAAATAAAAAAGCATTTTTATTAATAAAACCGTAACTTAATTCATACATAATAGAGTCGCAGTTTTCAGTCCTAGTTGTTAACATTTTTGACCAGCAATTGATAAGAAATAAAATAATAACAAAACATTGTTTTTGAACTGGATAACTGGTGGTTTTTGAATGAATTAATCATGCGACATTTGTAATATTACACAAATAATTAAAATTCGTTACGTCAAAATAAGGCGAGTTCAGTATGTTACTAAATAACTATAATGCCATCCAATTACTGACACAAATGATAGCCAATCTAAAATATTTCCATGTCTGTGATAACCCCAAAAGCCCAAAGAGCGGTAAGTATTACATAACACAGTGACTAGAATATGTGCTAAATATAAATCATTAAAAAACACAACTGTGTCTTACACCAACAGATGTCGATTGAGACAGTGCATAACACAACAAATCACTCGAGTGTTATCAAAGTTTTAACTGGAAACAAAACAAAAACTAGTCTTACAAGAAAAAGGTAAACTTGTCATACAAAGACATACTTCATTAACATCTATTACAACATCAATAATATGAGATCAATTGGAATGTTAAAGTTTCACAAATAAATATATTTTAAACATACTACCGTTACAGTTTTACCAAACAAAGTTGCAATTGCCAATGACACAAACATACACAGACATTTAATTTGCAATATTAGATCATTTTCTAAAAGTGTATGTTATAGTAACGTTTGCTTGATGCAATATAATCAATGAAAAGAACATTCAATGTTCACACTTGCTTAAAACCATTGATAAGTATACAAAGTGCTTATATAGTTTAAAAAAAAGTGTTACAGACAATTCAATCTTAATTGTTAATGCCTCCGTTGTAGGCGTAGTCGGCTTTATTGTGCATAACAAGATGGTTGTCCACAAAGTAGAAGCTATCGGAACATGTCTCAAACGGGGCTGCTATCATTTCTTCAACTGGAAGTTATATAAAATATATATAATTAAACAATTTCATGATCTTTTTGTTGTTTTTATTATGTGAATAGTTCATATGTAATTACCAAGATTTGGTGGCAGTGACGGGAACTCATATATATGTTCACATGTGTTTCTTGAAAATGGAATGCAGAAGCCAAATTCAAAATCAAAGGTCTTAAGCAATGTGTCCCTGAAGAAGTGTTTCTCAATCATTCTAAAATGATTGACAGGCCGAGCCCCAACTGTAAACTCAACCCTGAAAATTGCATTTGGTCCTCGTTATGTAATTACTAGGCTACTCTCAATCTATAAAAATATATAATGCAATTCGATTTAAGATAGAAAATATGATTGAAACTTACGTTGCTCCGACTGTCTTGAGCTTTAGAAACTGTGGAGTAAATTGGTATCTGACGAATCTGCCCGCGTTAGGATCCAACGGTTCTTCAGGGACTTCTTCTGCACCCTCATTATCAACACCGAAGTCGGTCGGAGGTTTGGCGATTTCAAAAAGAACGGTGCCAGTTTCGAGATCGCGTATTTTAAATCGTGTGAAATCTATATCGTACACGTTAGCATCCGGACTACATAAGTAGGTATCAGTAATCTTATTGAACCTTAACACGTCGTCTGGGGTAACGTTGTTAGAGATGATTTCATCACGATTGGACTCGAGAAGAGATATTGATTCACACTTTTTACTAACCAAACTCATAATTATAGCACCTTTAACTCTAAACAATATTAAATAACACTATCAGAGACTAATGGTCCACTGATAATTTATTAAACCATTATTTATTTCTGAATCTAAATATGAAATGACACTACGTTTTATGAACTTCAAGAAGGGAATTAAAACATAGCCGAGAATCGAAAATCGAAATTATTGGATTTTTCTTGTCAGTGATAACTACTACAATATTAGTTATTACAGTAAGCTTTGAGTAGTCTGTATTAACAAGACATAGACAAAATATCAGATATAAATAGTAGTATTGTAATTTGTCTTATAATAATACTCATTCTTAAAATCTTCATAAGGTCTCACCATCTTTTAATTTCGTTGAAGTTTAAATTGTATAATAAATTAAATCTCATAATTATTTTGAACGAATCCATAACCGCTGACGTAATTTCCGTTGCATCATAAGCTGAAGCATGCGCCTTGTCATTTTTAGTCATTGGTTGGTCAAAGATTTTTTGAAATTACAATAATCGGATAATCGGGCGGTCGCTCAAGTGTTGGACTGTGATAAGTTTACTTTAAGGTTGTAGTGAAATATCTGATGTGCATTTAAGTGAAAAAAACAATAAATCAAGATGCTTATTAAAGAATAGTAAGTTATAATTAAGGTTATACAGTCCTTTTGTGAATATAAATCGATTTTTTGTCGTCAGCTAAATATTGTAAGGGAATCTCTTGGGAAATTTTCTTGCTGTTGTATGTATATTTAATTTTATGAAATCTACAGGGTAGAGTTTTTAGAGGTCTGCGGGAGTGACAGATCCAAGATTTTCTGATTTCTGGCAGATGGCCATTACATTGAGAACTTGTCCATATGGAAAAATTTATAATTTCATTTTTTTTCTTTTCAGTCGCGTCACCCTTCCTCTGACCGTAGAAGAGGTAAGCTTTATATTTAATTATTATTTAGAAATATTTATATTTTTGGTTAAATGTTAAACTTTTATTACTTAATCTCGTTCATGTATTGAATTTTATATAATATTTTTTTATTATTCGTCTTAAGACTAATCATGGTTTTTATCAATTACTATCTTATCAAAATTATTCTGTTAATAGCACTTATACTTATTATCTACATAAAATTATATGATGAGTAATATTTCTTTTTTTTATTATATATAAAATTTATTTAAGTAAAACTTAAATATTTCTTTAAGAACTCAATACATTTTTTCAATATTAATATCAGTTTAAAAAAAAACTAAATAAATTGTCATCATTGTCTACAAATCTCACTTTTTACTTTTGTATTGATTTATTAATAATTTTAATAAGTCCTTGTACCTGGCCTCTACAACATTTTATGTTGTAAGAAAATAATATATTAACTCTCATATAGGATGTATATTATATTAAAATATATTTTTATTACTTAAATAGCAAATAAATTCAAACTAAGTCCTATGAACACAATATTATAAATATATTACTTTGAAATGCATAAATACTCTTTAAAAATTTTGTTATGTACTGTTTCAAAATAATTATTAAAATATAATCAATCTTTGAATATATGTACATGTACAACATAAATGAAATACATAATAGCCAAGGAAACTCTTATAGTATGTAATTAAAAGTATTAATTGGTTGTGAGCCTTGAAATTCATAATTTTCCACCATATATATGTGTGATAGAAAATGACAACCTTGAAGAATGTGAGCACCTCAACATTATGTGTATTATACATAAAATAGTATATAAATTATATACTTCCGATATATTCTGGTATGAAAAAATATATAATTTGGTATATATTATTCTACTTTGTATCATTAATTACATACTTGTTATATAACTATACATAAAGGCCATAAATATTAATTTTTTTATATCATATCAATTAAAAATTAAATATTTTTTTATTAAAAGTGAATGTTCTAAGATTATGTGTGTCATACAAGCTCGTGCCGCGATTGGGTCAAGGACTCGTAGAGGGTTCCTAGAGAGATGACAAGAAAAGACTGCATACAAGAAAATTTTTAATTCATATATTACATAACCATTGACACGGTTTATATACTTACATAAAGATAAATATTAATAATTAATTAAATGATATATATATTTTTTAATTGACATATATATTAAAATTAAACTGGCCTTGAACATATTGTATTATTGATTTTTGTGACTATCGAGTTCATTTAGTGTATACTACAATACTACTAGTATTATGCTACAATAGTTTTAACAAATGATTAACATTTCAATCAGTATCAAGTCGCCCAGCTGTTCTGTGTGGCTGAAGTCTCCAAGAATGAAACAGGAGGCGGTGAAGGCATTGAGGTGATCAAAAATGAACCATTCAAGGATTATCCATTGCTTGGTGAGTACTTATACAACTCTTTACTAAAGAAAAGTTATTTTTTTTCATACAAATATATGTTATAAGTCATTAAGGATATTATAACTCACTTTTTATTATCTGCTTAGTATTAATGCGTCATGAAAATTTGGTTTCGCTAAACGACTGGTATGCCACGTTAATAAACAGCTCTGTTAAATGCTACAAATTTGATCTGATCTAGTCCTTGTAAGAACTTCTTTGTTTTAATAAGTTCGGTTAATTGGTCGAAGATGCGTCCTTACTTTAAATGTATCGCCATAGACGTGTTAATCGTCATATATATGTAATGAGTTAATAAGGAGAGATCTTGGAATTGAAAAAAAATTGCATATATTATATTCTGTATCTGCCAAAAAAAGAGTTTTTATATATATATATTTTTTTAAGTTCCATTTTTAAATTTTTTGTTATAACGAATGACGAATCAATGGACGGTTGGCGCAGTGAAAGTTAAATTGGCCTCGATTTAAGCAATGAAGTTTGATGATATCTTAAAATTAGTAATGACAATCATATAGGTCGACGGTCGCTGAAAATTTCAATACGAAAAGTATTTTAATAATATCTATAATATTACATTCCTTTAATTCTGAACGTCTCTTTTGACGTTCTAGTGAAGAATGATCCTAAAACAGCGTCAAGTTCAAAAAGAGACGGCGATAAAGCGTCAGGACCGGACTCCTGTATGACCTGCGGTCCTTGTCTCGAGAATGGTAAAATTAAAAAAAAAACACAGAATTCTATTTTCAAATTAAACTGAGTACACACTTAGAGAGAAATCAAGTATTTGTATGAAATAATTTTTAGTTAAAAGTGTGCACTCAGCTTGTATATTGCTTAGTTATTATATTGTTGTTGGACTGGTTTCGAAGTAATTAATATTTTTGTTTATCATCACGTACGTAACGTAGTCACACTAATTCCGTAATTTCCGTATTTTTTTTAAATGAATACTAATTTAGTTAGAATATTATTTATGTAGCGAAGGTTAACATGTAACTACATAAGATGATAGAACTGAAATAATCACCAAGGGTAAACGGTAACGCTACGAAAGATATACGGAAAGAAAATAAAATTGAAGTATCATAATACATATTAAAGATTATATAATTGCTATGTTCTTAAATTCTCGTCCATTAATTACTGTACTTCAACAAAATACGTAATAATGTTTAATGACTGATTGTCTTAAAATAACGCTTCAACAGCGTGGTGTATTGGAACTAACATCTCTTCACTGAGAACCATATAAAGGCCACGTCAAACTTATTCTTGAATACCTAGTAGTGATGATTGTAAATGAAATTGCATTCTATTGACTATAACATAGAGCCGATGTTCCTTTGTACGATAGTTGTAGTAGCTGCGATGACGTCACAGCATCTAGTTTACACAGATGGCCGAATGTTTTGCTAGGTGTGCGTAAAAAAATAATAATAATAATGAAAAAAATAATAATAACCGTGTCACAATTGTACAATCATTGCAATTATATGAAATTGTATTACTTTAGCTGTATATATAATTTCAAATAGGTTAAATAATGAGGTTATATATTACTTTTGTTATAACGCGTGTCGTGGAATTATACTATAAAATTTTTATTCGTTTGTTGAAAAAAAAAAGTTTTGTTTGTATGTACCTGTTATTTCGTTTTGAACAACGTTCTAAAACCAATATTTTTCCTGTTCGTATTTCAATTATTCTATACCGGAATAGGAAAATTTATTTTTGTTCAATTTAAAACGTACTATATGAAAACTATTCAATATATTTTTTCTAAAAGTTTATAAAAAATGGTTAACCAATTTTGAAAAATTCAGTAAATTTTGTACCGTAAGTAGTATAAGTAGATTATCAGTATGTATTAGTTATGGAGTCATTATTGGTGAGTGTAATGTGGATTTTTATCAATATATATATAATTCTCAGGTGGTAAATATTCATCTGGGCAGTACACCTACAAGATCTACCACTTGGCTTCGAAGGTGCCGGCCTTCATACGTCTCCTTGCACCAAAGGGCTCCCTTGAAGTACACGAGGAAGCGTGGAACGCTTACCCCTACTGTCGTACTGTCTTGACGGTATTTATACTCATATTTGTATACATATTAACAAAACAAATTGAGTTATCTATGAGTTTTTTTCATGGTAGTGCATTTCATTGTGTTCTAATTTCGATTTTATTATTTATATTTGGAACTGTTTTAAAAGTCAAGGTCACTACCAGCGATCTCGTATCTCGGTCTGTGTATTTTCAGAGTTATCCGTAAATTCTAGAAATAACAAATTAATGTACTGAAGTTTGTTTAACGTCTACGAATTTATAAAAATACATGTACCACGTTCTTTTTTTAAAATGTAACCGTTTTTAATAAAAATATAGTTGCTAATTTCTTTTGTTTGTTGTTGATGGAAATGTAAATTATTTTTAAAAACTGTTGTTTTTCGTTTCAACTATGTATCACGTAATATGTGATAATTGATGTTCGTAAGTATTCTTCATACGAGCGAGCATCAGCCGACACTAGGGAAGTCATATAAGTACGTCGATGTTAAGCCATCTCAACACTTGGGTTGCATTCTTAACGAATTTCTTTTATTTTATTATATTAAAATAGCTTCTATTTTCAAAAAGTATTTATTTCCAAAGAGTTTGGTATTATATCCGAACTTTTTTCGTTACCTCCATACATAAATCTTTTGTATATAGATAATAATATTTATCGTCATCTTTATATAACGATAGCGATGCTGTTAAGTCTTCAAACAAAATCTCTATGTCTACATTTATATTGAAATTAATTATGACATAAGAAATATGAAAGTATGTTATGTGAAATTATATTTTTCAGAATCCCGGATACATGAAGGAGAATTTCGTCATTTGCATAGAATCTTTGCATTTACCTGATGTCGGGGACCAGAATAATGTAAGTAACTACAATATGTGTGTACATGTATGTGTGTGTAATGTTTGTGTGTGTATGTGTGTGTATTTATGCTTCAAAATTTTTTTCATCAAATATTGAGCAACAAAAATGCAAGCAACACATTAAGTAATGCATACATATTAATAAATTGCATTTAATGTAAAATAAATTGCATTTTAAATAAATATACATTATGTTTTAATGGTGTCTTAAATTATATAAAAAGAATAATGATAATTAAATATAGATTTGAACAAAACGGTACAGTCACCAAAATACCTAAATTACTTTACTGTACCTACAGCGATAATATTCCTAGCATTACTTTTTATCGACGCGATAATAAAATTCAAGTAATAATTCATTTAATACTTAACGATTTGACGTTATTTTTTTTCTTCTTTTAATATAAGGCGATTGGCCTTGAATATATCTTGATGCCGACCGTCAAATAAATCCTCTTTAAATAATGATTTTAATATATTATATAGGAATTATCATACTGTTATGAAAAGTATAAAATTTTCCGTTTTGTTCCGTCTGTATGCGATTTTTTGATTTGTACCTAACAAATATTTGAAACTTACATATAATTGGTATTTACAATATAATAATTGCTGGAGTTATTGATAAAAATTTTACTGCAAAAAAAGGCAAGAAAAAGTCATCCATATTTGTACATAATGAAGATATTGTAGGTAGCAATTATCTCATATGTATCGATTTATGGCAATACCGAATGAAAGAAATTTTTATACAGTTACATATAAGAATATTTTAAATAAGTTCATTCGGTATTTGATCTTTAGTAATGATTTGTTCCGACTGACTCCCAATAAAACCTCGACTCGGCCGAGGCGGCAATGTATTGACCTCTAATACAAAGATCAAATCGATGTTACCTACATATGTCGTACATTATGTCGTTACATATGTATGTCATTGCAGTTTATATGTCACAACATATACAACAGAATTTTCGTGTATGTCATGAAAATGGAACTGTTCTAATTGTTTTACTAGTAGTTTAAATGCGAATGTTTGTTGCTGTTTAACACAAAAACTGCTTAACCGATTTTAATAATACTTTTATAGAAATGTAGCTAAGATATCAGAATGGGATATAGACTATAATTTAGTAAAATATCCATTGTTTTAGTAGTCTATTCCTTGTTAACTAATCCCAAAGTTCATTCGTACGAAATCGCTATTATTTATTTATAAGTATATGTGTTATTATTTTGCAATTCAAATAAAAATGTATGTTAATCTCATGAGATGTATTTTACTATTACTACTTTATTATTCGAATGTTTTTTCCTCTTATATATGATAATGAATTATTCAAATACTATGGGCCGTGATTTTTTTTTCTTATAAACAGCTGGTTTATGTATATCTGACAGCTGTCATTTGGCTATAATCAGATGTTACGTAACGAATTACACGAATGTGTTAATTACATAATGAAGGTCTTGTAACTTGTAGCAGTTAATACTGAGAACACAGAGGCATAGATTAAAAATAAGACTACTTTTTATATATATTAAAAATGATTTTTACATGTAGGGAGGCATAGATTAAAAATAAGACTAGCTTTTTTATAGATTAAAAATTATTTTTTATCTGTCTTTCGTGTAAAATACGAAAGGTTTAATAGTTTTTTTTTTTTTTAATAAATCGTAATAGTATATAAGTATGTATTTAAGTCTAGTTATCTGAGATAAAGAGTTTTATAGTCCCCTCCGATGCGCTGAACGCGAACATATATTAAATATTCAACCTTACAGCTTGACCTACATTAAAAAATTTCTCACAGAATTCTCTCGTTTCGGGGTCAGTACGCTCAAAGTTTTATGTTACATTAAAATTGATGCTAGCTGCGTATATAATGTACATTTGATACATAACCTTGTGCTAAGCGAATGTTAATATATTATTAATTTAATATGTTTTTTATTCATAATGAATTTACAATTTTATCATATCACATTCTTAACTAATCGTGTAATCAGTCTGTTTTAATATCAGCTGGCTGTGACGCTCTGCAATTCTATTGTTAAAACTTTGCGTGCGATTTTTTTGTTATATATAAATTGTATGTATTAAATTCTTATATACTTACAATTTAGTATATAATTTGTTTGTAACAGGTTCACGAATTGACTCCGGAGAAGCTGAAGAATCGTGAGGTTGTTCATATAGATATCGCAAATGATCCGCTGTCAGCCTCCGATTATAAACCAGAAACTGATCCGACGAAATTCAAATCGACCAAGACCGGCCGTGGACCTCTAGTGGGTCCGCTGTGGAAGAACGACGTGACCCCAGTCATGACATGCTACAAGCTCGTCACGGCAGAATTCAAATGGTTCGGACTTCAGGTCTGTTTTGTTCTTATATATTACTAGCTTTCCGCTTGGAGTTCGGTTATATAGCGTTTCTAAGAAAACCTTTCAAGTCTGGGATAAAAACTATCCCATGTTCTCTCTCAAGGCCAACTCTATGTCTGTACCAAATTTCATTAAAATCATTTCAGTGGTTTAGGCGTGAAAGCGTAACAGACAGACAGACAGAGTTACTTTCGCATTTATAATATTAGTAGGGATTATCATACTTATTATTATTACTACAAAAAAAATACTGATTCATGTTATATACCATGTAAAAATAGAGTTAGCTGAACGAAAATAGTTTTATAGATATCTATTCGGTAGTTTCCAAAGAGTAAAAATAGGTAGTCCATAAAACACTACGATGTAATGATTCATGTTACATACCATGCACTAACAGAGCTATCCGAATGTAAATAGTGTTATGTACTGTTCAGTAGTTTATGAAGAGTAAAAATATTTTATTATATTCGTGGGATGCAACAGCGAAATATCTAGGTCACAGTCTAAATATTCTAAAGTAACACACAACAGTATTTAAATTGTGATTTATGAACGAGACCATAATTTTTTTAGTCTGTGTATTTCCTATGATATTATTTCATTATTTATATTCACAGAGCAAAGTCGAGAATCTGATCCAGAAATCGGAACGGCGATTGTTCACCATTTTCCATAGGTTAGTTTTTGTTTTATATATCAATACTCATAAATACAAGCTATATAAAATAATTATTATCTATAACGTAATTTCCAGGCAAGTGTTCTGCTCTATGGACGACTGGTACGGCATGACAATGGCGGATATTCGCGCCATAGAAGAGAGGACCAAGGAGGAATTGGAAAAGCTGCGTCGGGAGGGCGAGGTCCGCGGCATGAGGGCCGAGAACGAGTAGGAACATCGACCCATGACACATGACCTCCGACAACCAGCAACCAACGTCGCAGGTCATCACAAGCGGTAGACTACCGGACCATATAGATTTGACCCTTGACCCTTGAACATACCTCGGTCAGATCTCAAGGTCTATTGTACTAAGTCCGGTCAGCATCCCCGCACTAACAGATGCCCTAGCCTCAGAGATTGCGTTTAAGACTGCTGGCAGTCGTAAGCTCATTATTTATATCCGCATATACATTATATGTAAGGCCATTGATATACGAATATGGTTGTCACATATATATACATAGAATTACAACAATCTATGAACTATGTATGTAATTATTTGATTATAGAATGAATTTAATGAGTTTTGTCAATGCGATCCGACTACAGCAAATCTATCTATCTGTACTGTGGTTCATTTATATTCAGAAGCAATATATAGTATTAAAACATAAATAGTATGGTAAAATTTTAATTAATAATTTTGGTGGCCTGTTGAAAACGTGCAGCGATATCTCAAATGAAGCGGGGGCATTTAATATTAGATGAATATAATAATTTTATTGAAATGTGGTATAGTTGTAAACACTAAGGTAATGTAGTCAATGGTTAAACGTAGTTGTTACCTAAAGGATGCATCAAATATAAAGGTTTAAAAAAAAATACAAAAACATATATACATATATATAACTTAGCATCGAGATTTTGTGGTTAAATGGCATTTTAGCTGATAATTTTTAAAATATTTCACTGTTTTATTAAGTGTATAACCCGTTGTGGTCGGGATATATTTGGTTGTTGTGTACATAACGCTATAGATCGATGACTCAATAATTATTACCGTTTGGTAGTTGATAATATGTTGGGCTAATTAATTGCATTATTTTTAACCCATTCAAGTCAGGTCAAAAGAGACCTGTTCCAATAAAACCCGGGTTATAAATGAAAACCTTATATAAATCAATGTTTTGTGAATCATTTAAATGAAGTTATTGATGCAAATAAATCATTTATGTGACGATAGCCTGATTTTAATGAAACACAATGAAAGGAGAACTGGTGATGGTTTTACTGGTATGGGATGTATTTTGGCAGTAAAATAATAATAAAATCACAACATTATATATATAATTATATATATAAATATTTAAGTGTGCTTAACAGAGAACAGTATTTTAATAGTTGAGTGACATTCCAGTTGTTTTACCGAGATATGTTGAAAATAGATTTGTTTTTACCTCTAGCTCTCTGTTGCTACGCTGTTTGTATTACTGGCTGTACGCTGTTGCGAAAAAAGTTATTTAAATTATATATAATATAATAGTAATGTTTGTATTAAATAATGTTCCTTTGAAGCAATTGAAATAGTATTTGTGATGGTTCCATAATATGTCAAAGAGTTCTCTGAACGGAACTAAATTATTATAAATTTTTTTATCATTGAACATTACATGTTTGTTAGTTAATGAGGTGTATGTTTCCATGCTTCGTAATTTTCCAGAGCACTGGTTAATATTTGCTTTTTATTCGTTTTTTTTTCCTTTTTATAAGTTCTTATAAGTTTTTTTTTTTATTGAATACACCATGATATACAATTTGGGCGAAGTCTTTTATTTATTCTTCTTTTGCATTTAAGGTACTTAATTTTTATTTCTTTTTCTTTCACGATCTCTTCAGTTCAATATTTAGTGCTTGGAAAGACGAATTTTTTGTAACGAAAACGAAAAAAAATACATAAAAATTAAGTACTTAGGATTATCTTTGGAAACGTAGATTGTAATTAAAAATATTTTTTCTTCTATATATAATAAATATTTTATGTAATACTGTAACAAATGAAATTTTAGATCGCTTAATATGAAGTGCTTCGACTTTGCTAGTAGTTCGTCTAGAGATTACATTCTCCACATATAAATGTATCTGTACTTAGTATAGCCAACGTTTTATGAACTTTATAATTAATAAATAATGATAATGGAGGAATACGCATAATATAGTCATATAATTATTACATAAATTGATAATTATAAAAATTTTGAAACTTGTTTGAATGTAGTAGTAGCAATGAGATTTCACGCCGACGTTATAGTATAAAGCATAATATGTATAGAAGCCGAAGTTGTCAATTTAAACGTATAGCAAATAAAGTTTCGATGGATTCTCGCATTGATATATAAGTTTAAGTAATGACATTTGTTGTAAAATGTATTATGGATATTTTGAATGCCAACGTAAATAAAATAATTTTAACCTGCCACATGATGTTGTTATTGATCGTTCAAAAGAAAATATTCAACGCTTCGCTGGAATTATATCAAATATGATTCTTTTAACGCATTATGAAAACAAAGGAATTTGTTTAAACTGATTTTAAATAAAAAAGGCTATATATTTTAATAGATAAACTCCTCATATAAATTATATGAGGAGTTTATCTTCATGAAATCGTTATTATTCTGAAAAGCACAACTTTGAAATACTTTGTTCAAACAATAATATATTGTAATCAATTTCATATATTTATTTTTAATAATATGATACAAATTAAGTTTTAATTTTCATCATTCCAATTGGTAGATAGCCCTCGCAGTTTATTCAATCAAAGACATTAAGATGGACGACATTGTAACACATGTGTAATAAAAGATAATTCTATTTCTAGTAATTGTGACGTGTCAGTCTGATTGTCATGTTATTATAGCAATTATAATCATACATGGCTTTATAAGTATATTGAGACCAACCTAAATACACATTTCTTGGACAATATCTTCATTTTAACATACATGTAAATTGAATAGTTTTTTTTGTTTTTCTATGTAACATTATTTTCGTATAATTAATTTATATGATTTCAGCGGCGCCATCTTATCATGTAATACCATAAAGCAACTATGAACATAAGGAAGAAGAATGAGTCAATTTGTGTTTATGGAAACTTTTCCGGATTGAAAAAGTGACAACTTAGTTTACGCGCGAAAATTAAAAAATGGCGATTCCATAAGATTTCAGATTCAGATTTTTACAGCGTTGCAATTGAAAAATGTATTTTTGACGGAAGACTTTTTACATTATATATTGTAATTTTTAAACCTATAAAGTAACTACAATCTACATATATTATGTGTGAATTAATTTCAGGTCATCACATGATGTTTTCTTCACAGTAATTAGGTTTATATCTCAATTAAATTAAACGAGATATCGTAAAGAAACAGAACAATGTCGTTTAAACTCTTAACTTAAAAATATTTATCTTCAATAACGATTAAAGAAATTGTTTTCCTAAAGAATATAACGGAAAGACATTTCAAATTTTAAAATGTGAATGAAATAGTCTATACTAACATTTTAGTTAATTGTAATAATAAAAATCGCAAACGTTCAGGATTTAAATATGTAGTTATTTTTTATGTTAACAAAATCAAATTTTTCCAGTAAGTCACAGTTCTTCTACATTTTATATATAAAAAGATATCATAAGACAATAATTATTAATATGTACCAGCACACATATAATAGACTCGGTATTTTAATACATTTTAAATTCATATATAGATATTTAAAATCTATTGCAACAGGAAACCTACAAAACAGTAAATTATAATGATAGGGAATTGAAATAATAGATAGAGTGAACATTTTGTAATTTATATTTGTAGAATTTGGATTTTAAAATATACAACTATTTATTTTATAATCTCACAATAAAATGAAAGGAACACTATTGTTACTTAGAAATTATCTACTGGAACTGTAAGTCAAAGGCAAGTATCAAATGAAAGTATTGAAAACATTTATATTTAAAAATATTAGAAAATCTTTAAGGAATAATTAAATTTTGTTGTTTTGGAAAAAAAACAGTCAACAACTCACTGGAAGGATTGCATGGAATTGTTTGGAAAACAATAAAATATTCTTATTACACATAAGTTTCTATTACATATCAATATTGTCAATTGTGTATCTTTCAATGATTATAGCGGGAAACAAATATTTTTCATTACTCATTTAAAATTATATTCCAAACGTTCTACCAAATAATGGTAAGTAGACAAGTGTTGGTAATGGGACATTTGTTCGTCAATCCTTAGTTGTATAGAAAAAATTACAATTTATTTGGTGAAGATCCACCCTAAAACATAACGTCAGTCACTAGCGAACAATACAAATAATTCAATTCATCCAATGCAAATCTTACAATCTTTTATATCTTAATCTAATTTGAACATCATTTTTTAATTTTTAGTCTACATAATATGAATATGTATAGGGATACAAAAATGGAAAAGTTCCACAGATAAAATAAATAATTATATGCAAATGCACGCCGTTCTTTTAAAAATATTTCGAATACTAACACACGCTCTAAATTGGTTTCGCTTGCATTCATAACACGGACTCCACGCTAACAAAACATCAATAATATCAGAAGCAAGCACTTAATAAACTATATAAAAAAAAACAGTAATAAATAGCAAACCTCATATAATAAAACAATAAATAAAAAATGCCTTTGTCATTGCAATTTAATAAGCTCCTTGATGCCGATTTATAAGGGCTGATTTCACCAGTTAATAATATAAAATTTGCAAATGTGTCAAGCTTAATAGCTAGTTAGTTAGTAGTTGACAGATAAAAAAATATTATTGATTTCATAGATTCAAATATAACTTCACAGAAAAATTCTGTTATAGCCTATGTCACAATTTCCTCATCACCATAATGTATGATAGTATATATTTCTAATTTTATATGAAGTTATAGGACGTTATAGGAACTGGTGAAATTCCCGTTAAGTGTAATACCGCCATCAATGCTAGTCATCTACTTCTAGTTCAAGCTCTATATCAGCGAGATTGATCTTCCTTAGTGTGTTGATGACCATGTACCTAGAAAACATAACGTACAGATATCTGAACCACACCATTTGGCTCTTGTGAAGCTTCATCGCTCGTGTGACGCGGCGACTTTCAGTCCATCGAAGGAAGTACCTAGAGAAATGAAAATAACGATTTATTAAGTACATTTGTAATAATTTAAGGCCTCAAATAATGTAGTAATTTTATTATTATAATATATATTCTTAGTAAAAATGAATGAAGTGATCCTTACCTTTTGGAAGATAGAACAAAGCTCAGCGGAAGATCCAGGAACCCCAAGTACTTTCTCAATATATTTACAGAATCCAGTGTATAAAACGTACACTCTGCAATAGAAACAATACCTTTAAAATAAAATTATGGCTGATTAATAGATTAGAACCGAAACTCCCAATTATAGCTATATTTTTCATTTACTCCACTATTTGTAAAAAATATATATCTAATATATAAAATTCTCGTGTCACAGTTTTCGTGCCCATACTCCTCCGAAACAACCTGACCGATTTTGATGAAATTTTTTGTGCTTATTCGGTAGCTATGAGAATCGGCCAACATCTATTTTTCATCCCCCTAAATGTTAGGGGTAGTCCACCCCTAAATTTTTTTTTTTAATTTTTAGACAAAATTTTTAATTACTATTTTTTTATGATACAACGTACAAAAATACATACAATCCTAAATTTTCACCCTTCTACGATCAACCCTTATTTTTTAATAGCTATTTTAGTAATTTAATCATTTTTCATCTCCGGTCGATAACTGATCAATCGTCATTTAATAAGTTATCCCCGTCATTTTATAAGTTAATTAAATCATAATGTCCCACTAACTGTGAGTAAATATAAATAATATCACCAAGTTCATGATATAAAATCAAAAAACTAAATTTATAACAAATCTGTTCAAATTCAAAGATATTGGCATTAAATACTTACTTGAAGGCATATTCTTTTCAACGAACATATAGGCTACAGCATAAAAGGCGGCTGAGTGATTTGGGTGTGATGAGACACCTCCACGATCAAATGTCACTAAAGTATCGATATCCAAGGCCTCTAGCTTGTGTTGTATGAGCTTAGCTACGACGGGAACTGGCCATTGAGCTTTAGGGTTGTCCGGCAATCTTGTGTCCATGATAAGACATATATTGCTATCACGTACACCCAGCTCGCGGCAGGCATTCCATAGCTCCTTTCGTCTTTCACCACCTTTACCCTCATAGTTACCTGAAAATATTGTTTTAAATACACTGTTATTATGATTTACTTAGACCAAATTATTGATGAAAGAAAGAAAATTATTTGTGTAACTAAAGTTAGGTTTTAATTGGACAGTATACTAAAATTATCTTTAATAGATTATTAATGTAATCCTTGTTATGAAGCAAAACTAATGTTTATATGAATTTTTAATTTTTCTTAAGCTTTTGTTAGCTTTAGTCTTTTCCTTTAAGGACGACACATTTATATGATACTCAGGATTCAAAATACAGAGAAAAACTATTTACTTTACAGTTACAAAAATTAAATTGAAACATATTGTTACTTATATGTCCTTTTATATGGTAATCGAGTTCAGTCTAAACATTGAAATTACTCAAAATGATGTAAATACCACAAACATATATTTTGTTATAGTCAAAGAAAAGTATGTTTTCAGGAAGTAAGTTTCAGTTTTGGTAAATGTAGTTGGATGTAAAAAATGTTATACCATTGGATAGACACAGCAGATAGACTTCAGCACCTTGCTCGCACAATCTAAATATTGTTGGACCAAAGAACATGCACTCATCGTCAGGATGGGCAATAACTAATAATACTCTTTTAGCTCCGAGAGCGCCACGAATTCTTGTCGGGAGTCGTCTAGCATAACGTCTGTAAACCACGCAACACACACACAAATATCCAATCAACCAAACACCTATGTATAATATGAAATTTCTAACATAAATTAATATATCAGCCACAAAAGTTAAGTAAAAATTGTAAGCATATTCCAACTTGTATGGTGTCTCTGATAATGACATTTCTGACTAGAACACAACTTGTTTTACTTCTTATTTCACATTTATCTGTTCATGGAGAAATATACATTATATTTTAAAATTATATCCAATGATTATATTCTAAAGTTTAAAAACTTGGTGGTCAATAATTTCATCATTATTTTGACATCTTTGAACTGACATTTTTCATGTCATCTAAAGAACGAAAGCTCTAGCTACCTAAAATTCGATAATACACCATAAACTAAAAATCTAAAAATACGATGTAGGATTAGTATAGCAATCTACTTATCTACTTAACATACCGGCTGTATTGTAGATATTTCATTTATAATATTCTTCCTCTTAAATAAAGGTGAAACTCAAAGTAACAGGGACAGAGAATCGGTGCAGGCCCCAAACGAGTTGGATTACTATTTAATTGACATGGAAAAAATTCTCCTCGTTCGGTTGAAATTGTTCTTTGTAGAATAAAACCAACGTAAAGTAAGTAAGTATTGAAAATAAGGGACAAAATATTAATTACTCAAATATATTAGGAAACAAAAGTAAGTAAGTATCTTAAAATTTTGAATACAGTCTTGGAAAGACGCAAATATACAAACTTAAATCAAGAATTTCCTTTTACACAAAGTTCATATATCAGATATATCAATTTTTCTTGTATTATTTAAATAGTTAAATCAAGTTCTTTTAAGAAGAATCATAAACGTATATAAAACATTTATGGAAATAAATAAATTAAATATTATTTTCAAAAATGTAGTAACGTAATTGTGGATATATAACTATTATGTCGTTTTCCTATCTTTGGAATCTACGATAAGTGATCGCTAACTTTGAGAATAGTACTTACCATATATTTTTATCCCATCCTCGTTGGCAAAATGTGATATTTATGAGTAATATTGAAAAAAAAAACCAATGAACTTGTGGCACACAATTTACTGATTCAACGTAGACTGACTATTGTCACAAACATTATTTGACTACCTACTATATGAATTTGTTACAAACACTATAATTTTACAGATAGCAACTCTACTTCAATCAAGTGTTCTTAAAGTACAACCAGCTGGTAACACTACTATATGACTTTCATAGAAGAATAACAAATTCACAAACAGTTTATTGCATCTAAATCTATGTAATTGTGGTTTCACTGTAACGTAAGCCGTGTAGAGTAGACTGTGTATTTTATATTTAAATACAATTTTCGAGGTTTTACGTCTGAGCTTGTGAAAGGTGATCGAAATGATGCAGCCAGATTACCCAACAGCGATGGGGTTGCTGGCCCATCTAAACTCGGATGAGTTAAAGGAAATGCTTAATGATGACACCAAATTCGATTCCGTCCTTAAAGATGTTAAACAAGTGAGTTTTTTATATTTATTTCATAGTCGAGATAATAACAATTTATCTTGATACTTCCTTTCATGAGTCATTGTGATTTTAAATAACATTCCCTTTATGTTTAAAAACTGTAGCTACCTGGTAATAATATCGTACGTGTTAATTTAAACCCAATATTTTTTATGAATATTCTTTTTTATTATAGTTTTATATAATAGTTTTTGGTGTACATTTTGTATAAATCATACAATTTCAGGTTAAAGATTGGGAAACTGAAAGGGAGATGATAATAGCCAGCAACAGATCATTGGCTGAATTTAACCTAAGCAAAGAGCCAGATCTGGAAGATCTTAAAAAACAGATACAAGAGAAATCTAAAACTGGAGAAGAGCTGTGTAGCCATATACAAGAATTGCTTAATGATTACAGTAAGTTTATTGATTAAAATATTAGTGTATGCTGCTAAAAGACCTTTAGAAGAGAGACCTCTTACATCAGAGTATGGAATTGATAAAGTTGCCTACTAAAATTCCAATTTTCATACCCAAAATCAGTATATGACAAAAGAATACAACTTTCAATCAAATTTATATCAATCTAAACTTATCATGCAATCATAGCCATGATCATATTTGCATTGATTTCAAACAATAACAATTAGCAGAATTAATTATTTGTTTTGTGTGTAATAGATAATTGATTGACTGACTAGACAGACTGTTACACTGTTTTATCTAGTTTTGCTTTCATTTCATTAATATGGGTTAATTCAATGTTGGCAGATGATTGGCATAGTAATAAAATCTTCCCATTCCTTTCTTATAAATTTGTAGATGTTTTTCATTTTCAAATCACATTACTAGACTTAATTTTTGTTCAGACAAAATTTTATCTTGATAATCCTTGTGTAGGCACCTCACCACTAAGAACTTTACTATCAGAAGTTGAAATGGTGGATGAAGAAATTAATTTCAAATTCCTGTTTGTAGAGTTATAGATAAGACTAGTAAATTCTTGAGTGTGAATCGCTTATAACAAATGTTATGCCATTGATTAGATAGTTCTCTAGGTTATTCCCCAAACAAATTGCTTGTTCATACTTACTTTTGAGGGATTTCCCTTAATGAGATCTTGCCTTATGAAATGAGGTGAAACGTTAGGAGTATGTAGTTTATAGTCAAAAATTAAAAATCGCGTAGTAAATCCGAAAATATTAGTTTCATTTAAATGGATTTCCTCTAACTTTAATATAAATATCTAGAGTTGCCATATTAGTACAGGAAAATTATTCAGTAAGTCGGATAATTTCGATGTCTTTTCCAAAATAGTGAAAAAATCCTAGCACTTTGATATTTCGGTTGGATAGGGTCAATATTGGTAGTTCGACATCACTGCTTTAGACATTAAATTTCGTTCGTTATGTAAACTATTACATTAATAAATTGGTAACGTTATTTATGTTTCCTTTAATATGTACATGTTATTAAAATTAATTAATCTAAATTATTCTGTTAACATCATGTTATAAAATAATCAATTTCAGAGTCAAAATCGGCCGGTGTAACCCCAGATACAACGCTGGCTGTATTACAAACGGCGGCCGCGGAGTCGGAGGAACAGTCTGAGAACATCGCACAAGACTTTCTCACAGGAAAGATTGATGTGGACAAATTCTTAGAAGACTTTGAACCAATCCGCAAAGAGATGCACTTGAGGAAATTCAAATCGGAAAAAATGAGTGAACTATTAAGAATGGGTAGTCCGAGTTCTTACGTGAATGGCGTAAGCAAGCCGTATTTACCATATCCAAGCTTTGGACCACAAGGCGTACCTAACATACCATACCCAGTAGGACCCTTAAACATGCCAATGCCCGGAATGTACGGAAATCACTTCTGAATAACAGTGTTATTTATAAGGAAAAAAGTTTAAGCACCTATCTATGTGTCTCTTATAAATGAATTATATTTTAAATGTCATACACCACAAATATTTAACATTTTAAATTTAAGGGCTTTTTAATCTAAAACATTTTTTTTTATATAGGAAAATATATATTAATTTAATTGCAGTGGTATAAAGATGTCACAAAGTAACGAACATTTTAAATATTGATGATCTGTTAAATTTGATAGTGTCAATTGAATTGAAAGTAATAGTGAATATATAATATGTATTACAAGGTCCGCTCGAGGTGCTTGTAGATATGTGATCAAGTCTGTTAGACAATCACTCTATTTTTATTATAGAATTATGAGACATCTGTTGTTTGCCATTTAATCTATAAATTTTATAGGTTCAAATGTATATATAAATTTTATTTCCTGTATTATGTAGATAAAGTTTTATCGAAACAGTTATTTGAATTTTATTTTAAATGTGACTATAATGATGAAAAATATTAAATCATTTGAATGTCACTAGACCTACCTAATAACACTGTGGGGCTTTGTCTGAGTGCTTGCAATATTCATATTGCAACTTAAGTACATAGATAACATAAAATACTTTGACTAAATATCCATTGAATGCACAGATTCTAGATAAATCTTTCACATAAATATTATCTAGAAGAATTTTTATTCTACATAATGTAACATTTTATTGGAAATGTGAAAAGATTCTTTTTAATCACATTCAACAATATTTCATGTAAATTTTTTACAACACTGAAATGTCTAATTTCTGCATTTTTTGGTATCAGAATCTCAAAACAAATAACAAATAATACTCTTTCCATATACTGATATATTTTTTTATTTTATAATATATGCAAATTTTCAACTTTATGTACTCACATTTTGAGTTGCACACAGGCACTCTTCATATATGTTTCTTAGGATGTACACTTCGGATTCTTAATCTTATTCTTAAGAACTCCTTCTATACCCAAAAATTTACTTCTTTCAGAATTAAATCATAATAATTTCTAAAATTCTTTCAGGAACCACTAGCTTAATATTTAAGACTAAAGTGACAATCAGTGGCCATAAACTTTATATTGGTTGTTAAATAAAAGCTTTAAAATTTTTATTTTAGCCATATATTTCAACAATTATAATTTATCTAACTCTAATTGCTGTTATACAATAAAAATTATGTACAGTATATACAATAAGCTAAATAAATATATTATGAATTAGTAAATGAACAATTTCCCCTAATAAACTTTCATGAATTATTTTAAGACTGTTGCTTTATTTGAATCTTGTACTATTTTGGTTTCATCGATTTTGTTGTCATCGAAATCACTTTTTCCGATAGCAACCATAAAAAAGAAAAAGCAGACAAGGAAAAGATAAAAGACCGCTTCTTGGTGGTTACCCCGTGATATTTCCACTTCTTTTTTCCTTTGTTTCTCGACAAACTCCCTGGCGTAGGTACGTTTTTTTATCAAGTTTCCATAATGTTGTTTGGACCTGAAAAATGGTATTCAAATTAAGAATGCGGATGTCCAATTACAAGGATATGATCGTTGATGTATTCTAACCAGGCATCAAAGTCAAAGACTGGCGTGTGACCATCCATTGTAGGTACAACATTTTTATGTTCCCTAGATTTATAGAACTTCAATGTAGGATCCGTAGGCTCTGGTTCTGGCTGATAATCCATTCTAGAAGTATTCTCTTTTCCCACAATCAGACCTTTAAAAAATATATCGTATAACAATATTATTAAGATATAAAATTAATTAAAATTTGTTTTTATTTTTGAATAATAATCAATGTGATTACAATATCTCTTGTTTACCTTTGTCATACATTTTCTTTAAAGAAACATTGCCAAGAACCTCATAGGCTTCACAAATTTGTCTAAATTTTTTTGCAGATTCCTCATCCTGAAATGATATTAGTATTTTTCATACATTGGGTGTTATAATAATATTGGTTGTTTAATCATAATTATTACCTTTGATTTATCAGGATGATATTTTTTTGATAATTCATAATATGCCGTCTTAATATCGTTCTGCGTCGCTTTTGGTGTTATTCCAAGGACATCATAATGACTAGCTCCAAATCGGCTTGTTGTACTTATGTAACGAACGTATATTGAAAGTAATTTCAATTTGTTTTGAGCTAGCATTTTGGGATACTGTGAAATGTGAAACAGGTTATTTATGTTCATGATAATTCAATTGAAGACATTCAATACATAACATGAATCATCTGATAACTTACAAATTTTGATTATTACTACACCATTAGATTTACGTAAAGATGTTAAATCAGTATAAAATACTGATATTTTGAAATTCGTAATGATTTACGACATGCCCTTGGATTTGATTATCCAACAACACCACACAGATGATTGTATGATTATTTGTCATCTGTCCCAATCATTCACTTACTTAAAAGCTACAATTTTTAATTATTATTTTTCACTTTGGTAAAAAAATAGCTTATAGACGTAATTTATTTTTTAAATATTATTTCTCAATTTGTATTTTAAGTTTTGTCGAACAAATAATTTATAATATTTTTTGTGTTTCATATCATCTCAATTCATAGTTATATTATAGAATTTTAATAATAATATTTCAATTAATAGATGAAAGTATCATCTCAATTTTTTTAATTCTGTTTTTATTCACATTACTAATCGCTTTGCAGAAATTATCTCTTGGCCTTACATATCTTTAGGAGGAAAATGTTAACAAGAGTTTTATAGTTAAACAATTCCAGATTTATAAATAAAAATGACTTTTATTTTTAGGTAATATTTGATCTTAATATATTTTTGATCAAAACTTTATTAAATAAAAAGTATAGGCCCAGAAATAAAATGGAGGTAAATTAACAAATTCTCTTATTTCTAACTATGTTAAAATTTTTGTGATAGAAGAGATTTTTGTAATATTTTAATTAAACTGCAATAAATTATAATTATTAGACTTAATATGTAATAATTCCCGTCGATATTTGTTTTTTTTTATAATGTCCACACTGCTTGAGTACATTGAAATCTTTACTTGTGAGTGTGAGACGTGACTCGTGAGTCAAACTTAGGCAAGTTTGAGTGTTCGTTATAACAATCTTATTTATACATATATATTTACACATTAATTGTATTAGTCATTCGTTTAAAACTAGCATAAAATTTTTGATTATATCAATTTTAAAAAGTACTTTGTTGCAAGTTATATATCAGGTAAGTCTTAAACCTTTATCGAATGTTAGTATATAAGCAAATTTATGTATTTATATCCTTGGCCGCACTGAGTTAAAGTTTACTACCATTTATGGTATTGTAGTGATAGTGGATTTCATTTTTGTGTCATACGTTTGGTAAAGTGAACAGATGTTAATCGTTTTCCTTTGTGAGTGTTTTTAACGAATCTTCGTTAGTTGATTGAACTCAGTGAGTCAGACCTGACAACGAGAATTTGGGTGACGTTATACGTGCAATATTTAAAAAGATCTTGTACGTTATTTTACTAGGACTAATATATTTAAATCTAATTGTCTTTTAATACTATAAGTATTTTTTTTATAGAAACATTTGTTCTGAGCTAGTTTTTATTATTGAAAATAATTTTCACAAATATTTTATCAGGCCAGTGAAGATGTCGTCGAGGAAAACAGCCGGTCGTCGCGGTACCAACAAGAAGAGGGCACAGCGTGCTACTTCAAATGTCTTTGCTATGTTTGATCAGGCGCAAATCGCCGAATTCAAGGAGGCATTTAACATGATCGATCAAAACCGGGACGGGTTTGTGGACAAAGAAGATCTACATGACATGCTGGCGTCTCTCGGTAACTTATTTTGCTCTGCGATCTTCCTGTTCTAAATGTATTGAACAATAATTGAAACCAACCATAGTTCTAGTGGTTTTGGACAGTACAATCATCTGTGACATTACTAATACACTTTAAATGTTGTAACAGCTCACATTTTTTATACTGTTACACAATATCTAGTATTTAAATAACTACGCAATACATGCCTTATCTGGAACCCATACATTTTAACATGGCATGATATAATTTGACTAACAATATTGTGACCTACTTTTATAATATAACGTTATTAATATCTTTAGGTAAGAACCCGACTGAAGAATACTTGGATGCTATGATGAATGAGGCGCCGGGTCCTATCAATTTCACCATGTTCCTGACCTTATTTGGTGAACGTCTTCAAGGAACAGATCCCGAAGATGTTATTAAGAATGCATTCGGGTATTTAGAACTCTTTAGTATATTTCTTTGTGCTTCTACACTATTAACACTAAGTGGATTTTAATCATGATATGTTTTTAATTAGACAAATTAAGTATTTGCATATTTATAGTATATGTAGTATATTTATATATAAATTTGGTGATTATAAAGTTGCTGAATCTTGATGGTAGTTTGAAATGTCTGTTTTATCTTAATGTTATCACATTTTGTCATTATCTATGTATGTATTAAATTTGTTATTAATATTCACAGTTGTTTTGATGAAGAGAACAATGGTGTTATGTCCGAGGAGCGTCTCCGGGAGCTGCTCACTACAATGGGAGACAGGTTCACTGATGACGACGTCGATGAGATGTTGCGTGAAGCCCCCATAAGGGATGGGCTCTTTGACTATGTGGAATTTACACGCATATTGAAGCATGGCGCCAAGGATAAAGATGAGCAGTAAATGTTATTTTAACATTTTTTATTATATATGCTATTTCAAAATGTAATCTGACATAATCAAACCAATTTATTAAGGTCTATATAATGCTAACTACATCAAATTCTCTGACTTCATCTTATAATTGACTAAACATATCCATTTGGTGACACCAAAATTCCGATATGTGTGTAACCTATCAGAGTTTTTCAGGATTACATTAGATTCTATGGACACATCAATCTCAAATGAGACCGAGCTGCTAGACTAGAAGTATAAGAAATTTGTTGCATTTCCGATTCTTTTAAATCATGCATTTTTATCAAACATTTCCATTGAAAACCTAACAAGCAAGTTTTAATTAAATTTATATTTTCTTTGTATTCAAATGTATTAATGGTTTAAAACTACAATCATCAATTATGTTGATAATGTAAGTAGTTCTTTGCATGGAGTATTTTAAACTGATTAATTGGCTTGAAAGGTATTATCATTCCTGTTTTCTAATGTTTTTGTTCTAGTAATTATGTTTTTATTATGAAATGGTAGAATTAGTCCTAAATGTTGTCACGACTAATGCTTTAGTAATGTATCCTTTGATTAATCACCTATGTATTTATATCGTGTTTTCCATATAAAAATATATTATAAAAGCCGTGCGTTTTATTTTCCAAACCGCTTAATGATCTCTACTATGTTGACAACATGTTCAAAAATAGTCTTAATATCATGCAACGGAGACCATGTTTGTAATTAGGTTTATGACCGACAAGGTCGAAACGACTTTTCCTTGTATATCTAACATGTAATAAATAAATATTTTACCAAATTATACTCTCAGTAACATTATACTTACTAATGGCAATAAGTTAAGTTTTTGTTGCACGGATTATTGTTCTAAAAAATTACGAAAACGCTTATATTTTAACTTGACGTTGTACAATGCTTTTAAATTGTTTTTAGCTTATTCATAATTTTCCTATAAAGTTACGTTTATATCAAAATCTGTTAGTGTAAACAAGCGTTTAGTCTTGGAAGCGTTAAATGTTATTTAGATTATCTCCAGGTTTCAATATATTAAAATTAAAAGTATAGTTTGATGCTTCTTGAAAGTACCATTTAAATAAGGCTCAAGCGAACTTGCATATATGTAAGAAAGACTGTTTTTGTGTCAAATACTGCTTATAACTTAATCATCAAGCATACTTAAATATTTTGTCTGGCTAATAATACTCGGGTATGTGACGTCATCCGTGCGACAGAGAAATATCCAAGATGGCGGTCTATATAATTTAAGTACATTCGAACTGTATGTAATGAAAGGGATCGCTGAAAATAAATTGAGTTAAAATAATCGTTTAATAGTCTTGGAAATGTAACAATCAGAAGGCAAATAATTATTTAAGGTCTTATTTTTACATATTAATATATATTTAATATATTGTGTGCGTGTTATATGTTGGTATAATTATATATTTATCATTGAAATTGAATTCAATCTGATATGACACAATACTAAGTGTTACTCTCATTCTTATCTTGTTAAATATGATTGTGAAAATGTTAATATTTTAAGCAACTGTACAAGTTTTTTAAAAATTAAAGAGAAAAAAATAAATTTCAAATCCGATGTTATAAACGTCTTTGGATATACAGTGTAAACTCTATATAACGACACTGAAGGGACCGTGCATTTTAGTGCGTTATAGAGAGTTGCCGTTAAATAGAGGGAAGAAAAATCAGAATTAGAAAAAGACAAAGTTTATTACAGACTAGTGTTAGTACTTATGTACATAAAAAAGAATGTTATAAAGTCTGTTGTTTTTGTTTGACGTGTTTTGCTGCACCAGTAATGTTGTTGTATTTTTTACGTATTTTATTCATATCTTGCGATATTGAGGCATATTGGTGAAGAACGAATTTCTTAGAAAGTTTGGTATGCATGATTACGACAGTGGAGTTTATTGCGGGCTAGGATAACAAAGCGACAAAAAAACGTACACAGCTGCGCATTTTTTACTAATTTTAGCAACTTAAAGGGTACTTTTATTACTTTATTTTGTCGTTATTGAGAGTGGCTGTGACGCTATATAGAGTGTACCATTGTATGGTAGATAAGCTAAACCAACCAAAGTCAAATGATTTCGACGCTTTAGAGAGTTTGTCGTTAAATCGAGTGTCGTTATATGGAGTTTACACTGTATATAACGGTAAAATTTATTATATATATATATATATATATATATATATATATATATATATATATATATATATATACATATATATATATATATATATATATATATATATATATATATTAATACAAGGGCTTCGACATCAAATTAAAAATGTCGAGTTTTGCAATCTTCTAGAAATCTTTATTTAGTCATTGCATAAACTTGGTTTTCCTTCGTTAAGAAGCACAGCCCATTCCAGAACGCTGTAGATACGCATATGGGGATTTTCGTTTTTTACTGTAAAATTATAAGAAGACCATTAAGATACCTTTTGTTTATTATTATGTTCGCATGGTCTCAAATGGCCATTATAGATGCAATATGACAGTCTTTTAAGTAACAACAGACACTAAATGTTTTGTTAAGAATCCATTTGACAACGTATTAAAAAATATAATTGCTATTTTTTGTGGTACACCTATTAATGCTTTTATAGAGTGGAGCGTTATTAGGTACTATAAAAGGAATTACCTTGCACTCTAACAAATTCTTTTGTTGGTAAATCGTATGGCTTCCATTTTGGTCGACTTAATTGAAAGTGAGTCGTTGAAGCGATTCCTTTATGTAATTCCTGGATTTTTAGCATTATTGTAATTAGTCTTAATTTTTAATCTTCCTTATTTTGATAATACGTTTTTGTATTACAAGTTTGTGTTTAGATCACAGTTTAATATTTGAAACGAAAGTGTTGCTTGATATATGTAATTAAGTCATTTTAAATATTTTACTTCGTAAGATAGGCAATCGCTTACTTAAAGTAAATTTTAATTTTATAACGGTTTATTAGAGGTCATATCAATTTCATAAGTTTAGTAGTGATAAAATTAATTTTTCCTCACAAATTAATTAGACTTTATTGGTAACTCATACCTGTTCCCATATATTCCTCTTTATTATCTTTGGTTCTTGGCGATCAGATCTTGAAGCTTTAGGGTTGTAATCTGGTGGGTGATATAGCATGTCGTACTGGCATAGCTGCTCCCTATTGGAGTTCCATTTTGTATTAAAATAAGTTTCCTCACATACTGGTATAACCATTTGAGTGACTAGTTTATCTTCTAATACGTTCGACATTGTTAATTTAAAGATCTATTTCAAAAATTAATAAAAAACTAAGAATTTATTTTCAGGTAATCATAGATTATAATTTATTAAGATATATTTAAAGTTATTGCCTAATGTCCTTATATCATGGTTAAAGAAAATTTGACAGTTTTATCACAAATACATCCCGAGTTATAAACTTAATTTATGTATTCAGCCAGAATCAAAATGTTTCAGAAATATCATCTGAACCATTTATTTAAAATTTTTATATGTCGGAAAAAATAATAAAATGTATGAAGTGTTAAAAATTATTTAACTTATCAATTCATAATATACATATACCTATGTACAAAAGCTTGGTCTCATTTTTTTAAATAATTACATATTTATTTCATTATTTTGTGTCTTATTATTATTGTTATTTAAGTAAAAATAACACATAATATATTACGAAGATCGTACAAAGATTTGTTAATAACGACGAAAACTTTAATGTGTTTGATAGATCCAGTTGTCATGTAAAATGACAGCACCGCTTAGTATTATTTACTTTTATATATGTACATCTAAATAAACTTTCATTTAAACTAACATTTTTTTTCATTTAAAAGTATTAAAATTTTTAACATGATGAGTAACGGAAGAGTCGAGTCGGAGTTATTTGGTCAGTAGCGATTTTGGAGCTATTAGCAAAATTACAAAAGTGGTTTTCTTTTCTTTTATTTTATGTCATTTGCTTAGATTCATTGGACTATTTGGTGTTGCCTGTTAAAAAAGGTCAAAGTTCTCTTCAAAGGAGCTTAAAACCGACTAACCACTTGATAAGAGATTTTCGGAGAAATATTTTTGTTAATTCGTCACCGTGTTCTTCTAATGAGTTAGACATTCAAACACATTCGTCACTTTTATTGGAAGCAAATACAAAGGTAAGGAAAATAATAAGTGTTTACTCATAATTTCATTTTGTAATCCATATATTCATACATGTTGTAAAACTAATCTAGTTCTTACATTTCAGTTTATTCAAGAGCAGTGTTCAACTTTTAATCTAACAAGATACAATACAATTTCTAATTTAAGCCTTCACAATATAAATCGAAACGCAAGACCTATTTTAAAAGAAGAGAGACCGATAATAAAAGTAACCGTTATACCAAAAGCAACTCAACAATCGTCTAAAGTATTCAATAAACGTTGTCAAAATTCAAGAAAGGTTCAAACTACAGTTTCCAACCAAGAGAACTCCATTAACAATAAACCCGTTTATTTTCTAATAAAAGGTAGTAAAAGAGAAAAAGTTCACGAAGTCAAAAAATCTGAAAGTGTCGATCTAGCCTGTCGGAACGTAAACGAAAAATATGGAAATCTATTATATAGAAAAACTACTGAATCAAAACAAATATTAGATTCGTTGAAAATGGAGAAAAAAAGGCGTAAAGAACGCAAAAACGTCAAGACTAAAAAGTCTGCTGTCGCAACAGACAACTGTAACTGTCTAAAAGAATTGTTTCCCGATAACTTACCATTTGTTACTGATCGAAGAAGTCGGGTGACAGTTGTAGGTCAGTTAGGATTAAATCACGAAGACCAGTATGTTTTAAAATGTGCTGCGACTGTCAACGATAAACCCAGTAAGATAATATCTAGAATACTATGTTGTTTGTTATTGGGATGTAAATATTGATGAGAGTATTAAAATTTTAGTTGAAACAAACGTCACGAGGAATAATTTTTACGACTTCACACGTCTCGAGAGAAACTACGATGGGAATCAGTAAGTTTTTGGCAAGAATTTTGATTGAATTATTAATGTGGTTACCAAACGATACTCTATGCTTATTTTTAAAAATTTCTTACGTTGCACCTTTCAGAAGTCGGTTTTCGAGTTCTAAGCCTGTCTATAATTTAGACAAGAGTGAAAATTTCAGGCAGTACCGGTAATACTATATTATTTTAGTAGAAATTTGAATAAAATATACTTTACAATTAAATTACAGTATTGTTTATAAAGCTTTTATTTATACGTAGAACGCTTCCTTATGTTTCTGCCATCTACTATTAAGTAATTAATCCTATTTAACTTTTTTTCGACGTTTTTTATTCATTCGAACTCCTTTTTTTATTTTTCATAATAGTTTGTCAGGATAGATAAAGATTGACGTAAATATTTTTGTCAGTGTGTTTAACCTTTTTTTTTTAAATAAAAGTAAGCGGTTGTTTATAGCCAGTTAGTGGGTAAGTGATGTTTCTAGTGAGTAAATCTTAATATCGTGAGAGAATGTATTGATATTTGTTATTTAATAATCCTTACCCAAATTAGTTCAGTTGGCTTAGTAAGCGTAGATGATTCAAAATATTTTCATAGTTATAATAGGTCCAGATCCAATTTTGACTTATATACAAAATATTTATTTTGTCAACTAGTCAGCAAGACTCAAATGTGCAGACAGATTTTACATATCCAGACTACTTTGACACTGCAAACATGAAAAACAACAGGTACAAATTTTATCACTCCTTCTATTTGGTACTGATGATAACTATGTATATAAGTGAATATTTTAAATACTTACAGAGTATCAAATCAGAGTACTCAAGTAAATTTTAATAATTTTAATCAAGATTCGAGAAAAAGAAATCAGAGTGAACAATGTCATTGCTCGCTTCCAACAACACCTACCTCTTTGGACACTGAAGCAGGAGACAATGTTTTAAAGGAATGCAAAAGCCCATTGGTTATAATATCTGTTTATCCAAGACAAGATAATACAGTTGATAATGATGCTGTTAAGGTAATACGTCACACGTCTCCCAAAAGAAAAGAAGTAACTAACATCATGAGAAGTAATTTTAGACAACAGTTTAGAGAACCGAGCCCGGAGAAAACAAATAGGGCCAAATTTACAAAAATGGAATCCAAATTCACTAGAAGTAGATCTTCTTCACCAAAAAATAAAAATGAGCCCAGAAAAGAGTTTGGAAATAAATCAGAAACGAGTTCCAAAAATTATAACGCATTAAAGAAGGGTAGCCCTCAACAAAATAGATCACCGAAATCGAATATCATAAATAAATTACAAGATCGTTCGGTCTGTCATTGCAATGATAAATCTTTAGAAACAGAAACTTTAGACCCAAATAAAATTAAAATGTTAGCGGGCAGGTCTAAAGAAAGCGAGCAAGTTAAAAAGGCACTAGTAAATAGTTTTCTACAAAACGTCAATGCTATGGATAGATATAACAGAAAAAGTAACGTGTTTGCACCCAAAGATGATGCTTCTAAAGTGACAATAAATATTGACGGTGACAAGGAACGCTATGATGTCCTTCTACAACATACAAATTATGACGCTGGTGTTTCCATTAAAAAAACTATTAAACCACCTCAAATGGATAGCCGTGAGCAAGGTGGAAAATCAGGAAAGTCTAATCAAGTCAAGGGTAAAAATGAACATAAAAAGTTTGCGAAAAGCAGTCAGGTGAGTGATTAACACGAATATTTGTATAGGGAAATTAAAAATCCAATACAAATATAAGAGCATGTATTTTCGTCCACAGAAAGATGTTAAAATGAAACCAGATTCAAGATTAAATATAAGAGATAGTATAGAAATTTGCAAAAGGTAGTGAAAATTTTGTTATTATTTTTTTGTAATGTTTAACACGATGATACTGAATAAAGTTTTGTAGGCTAGTAATAATAAAAATAATATCTTGAGACTATCGTAATTTCATTGATTTCAGACAAGGAAATCGTCCTAACCAGAGTCAGAAATGTTCTTTAAAAAATAACAAAAATAGTTTTCGCGAAACCAATTTAGACACTGATATTTTCGGTACTGTTATAATATGTTATAAAATTATAAGTTTTTACTCAAATAAGAATATTATTTAAAAGAAACTGAATATTTTAGCACCAGTTAAACATTATCCTGGAGATGATTGCTCAGTCACAGATCCAAATGAAAGAGATCGTGAAATAAGAGAATTGCTCGGAGTAATGAGACATCAAAAGAGACAGGATAGTGAAAATACCAGGGTTTGCTATTTACATATAAATTATTAATATGTATATTTTTAATTTTTTGTTGTTTTTTTTTAGCATTTTTTATCATTATAGACTAACTGGCATTGAAACTGAAATAGTGATATTAATTTGTTGTGTATTTTTATTTTTTTTGTCTAGAATACTCCCCAAAATGGAGGGTGTCGCTGCGGAAAAAGGTTTTGTTTTTGTAATTTACTCTAATATTATAGGATTTTATTTAATAATTTGATTTGTGTTTTTTCAGCTCAAAAAGCACGATGATGGGACTTAGTATTAACAAAATTAATAAATATTTGAAACGTCACAATAATGAAGAAACATTAAATAAATTGATCAATCCGGAACTATGTCACCGTAAAGAAGAACATATAGATAATTATTTTCTTAATCAAAATCTTCGGCCTGAATCAAATAAAATAAAAGACACAGAAAAACCGGTTCATACAACTCAAGATTTGATTATTTCAATGCCATCAGCAAGTTTGCAGACTACAGAAGAAGACAGTTTCATGAAAGATGTTCTCGTGAAACACAACGCGGATGTTATTCAAAACTTCGATATACAAAATGAAGAACATTTTATAAACGATTGGTCCAAAGTAGATACAAATATTACAAGTATAAACGATGATAACTCGTCTCAAAATGTAGTTCTTAGTAAGAACATACAAATATTTCTACAAGTGGACCAATTTAGACGAAAAAAATCTATATTGTTAACAAAAAAACAATATGAGAAAGTGAAAAGAATTGTTGAACGTAAAATTTCAAAGAAATCGAGCGTAGTAAGTAAGCGTTCTAACATGAAAACTTATAATGTTGTATCGGTCGGAGAAATTAAAATGAAACCCAAACTCAAAACACCATTACTTATTGAGCGTGGAATACAGGCAGTTGGAAACGAAATTAAGACACGAGATGACTCTGTGACAAACAAATATACTATAGAAAACGAAAAACCTAAGAACAAGGAGTTATATGGAGAAATTGATAAAATATCTGATGGTGCGATGTTTAAAAATATACTTCAACCGGGACGAAAACCTCTCCGCCAAGCAGTGTCTTCTGTTGAAATACGTTATGCGCAAGTTAAATATAAAAAATGTATAACAATGACTTCTTCATCGACACGTTTCAATAAAGACGTAATGCAACCCATTCAAACAAAAAATATCCAAAGACACAACAATTCAATTCTCACTATATTCAAAGGTATATTTTATATGAGTTTTCTTTCCTTCGATCAAATTGTTTTAAGTGTGACGTAGATCTGCCATTATCTTTTACTACACTATATGAAGTAGATATCACTTTTAAATGACATAATAATTCAAACCCATTGTATATTTTTAATAGTAAGAGAATATAAGATCAGGTTTTATTTCCATCCAGGACACAAGAAGTCAGTTACTCCAAATCTCGGTACGTCAGCTTATTCACTGTACTCTAATGAGACAGATTTTTCCTATAAAACGAATAAACTGCCACATTGCGATGGTGATTATAAGTCGAAGAAACCGTTTCTTCAACGATTGATATCTTGTATAATCATGCGTTCGAATGAAACTTCGAATATCAAGGATATTGTACGGAAAGAGACAATGCCTACTCTTAATAGCTCGGATTCCTATCATTTAAGCACTTCCCTGGCTGTAAGTTATCATAAATATATGTACATTTACTGTTAAACTTTTACATTATAATATAAATTAATTTATATTAAATACTAATTGCAGTTGCTGGATATGAATTCGTCTTTATACGATACCTCAGCCTCATTCTATAGTAATCATACAATATTGCCAGTGAACAAAATGAAGAAAGGCTTTTTCAGCTCAGTTCGGGAATTTCTTCGACGAAGTTGATATTTTCTAAATTTGATTTATCTGTTTTATGATGTCTGTTTTATCTTCGTTTGTTTTAAATTGTGATCAAATATATACTACATTTCTTTTAAAAAGGTCTTTCTTTACTTAATGAGTTAACCTAATAGATTAAAATAATTTTCTTACATTGGCGCTTTCTCCCTTATTTCACTTCCAATTATTCCTTGTGCTTTTTTATTTAGAAAAAAAGTCCTGTTCCAATCTATGATGACGTAACGCTGTCATTGTGAAACATTCTACTAGGACATCATAAATGTCTAGAAAACTTTGGATGAGGTTTAAATAGTCCTTTAATGCGTTTCATGTTTTTATGTACGTAAATTAAATGTTGCTTAATTTATAAATTTAACATCAATTGATTTTTGATGTCTTATTTTTGTAAAACAAAAACATTAAGTTAAAACAAATTCTTTTTCAATTTGAAATCCAATTTATAATAAAATATTAAAATAATGTATAAACATCATTAATGGCTTGTCTCCAACTGTGAAAGTGGTTGATATTATTTATTTCTTTTCTTTGTACTTCAGTGAAAAGTTTAAAAGGGAAAATTAAAAAAAAAAGTAGTTTGCTGTGTTTTATGTATATATTAACATAAATAGAAATAGGTACCAGGAAAACATAAGTGATACGGAGTTTTAGTTTTAAGGCTGCATACGTAGGCGTTTGGTGATGTGTGCATTGGGTATATTTGTAGTACGAAATAATGGTAGAAAAAAAATTATGGCCCGTCTCTATTGAATTTCTTGTAAATAAATTATAAAATATATTTTTGTATAACAAGTTCGTGTAAAATCAACTCGACGTATTCTGATGAAGCTTTACAGTAACCTAAGCAGAATTAACGTTTAATTTACGCATCAAATAAAGCCCTTAATTTAATTATTATAACAACAACATAACATAAATTAAGTCGTATCTGGAACTTCCTTTTTTTGAAGTCGGTTACAGAATAGGTGGTTACAAAAGTAGCAACTAGAGGGGTACCTTTTGACATTACCTACTTGCGAGTGAAATAATCTTCAAAATCAGTCCAGCTCTTCCAGAGACGGGCCCGAAATAATAGACAGATAGGGAAAATAAATGCAGTTTTGATGTACGCAAGTACGTAATATGTGCTAGACGAAACACCTTTAATTTGAAATAATAAAACAAACTGCTCAAACTGTATTTATTAGTTTTTTTTTTCATATCAAATTTGAAGTTAACGAAGGACGTCACGAGCTAGAACTAAAAATAAAATAACTTTTGTACTTTCTCTATACGTTTATACATAACAACAGTACCAGGTATTCATAAAATGCAAGAGTTCTAGTCCCGACGATTAAGATCACGAGTTTGTAGATATAAAACATACTCCTACATATGTAGTAGTTATACCAGGAATATATACAAGCACATGAAATGGAATAGATATTGATTCTTTGATAGTGAAAGGGTAAGGTATCGACAGCAGTAGATATTTAAAATTTCAACTTTAACAAAATTGAAATGGTTCTTGCTACCTATTTTTTATTAGAAAAAGTGTTAAACTGAAAATATTTCTAAAACAAAGAGATAAAATACATATGTATTTAAAAAATTTGTACATTTAAAGAAAAAGCGAATAAGAAAAGCAAATCCATTATCATCATAGTCTTTACGTCATAAAAGTGATTGATTACGTTAAAAATTAAATTTTAATGGGTAAAAAAGCTTTTTATAATTTTTAAAAAGGTAAATTTAATTCACAATAGGAACAGAAAATCCACGAACCGGAAAATACTTGGAAGGTGCCCAGAGAGATACCAGGGACGTATAATTTATAAGGAGGTTCCATGCTCGGTGTGATATTGATTTATTAAAGTGAAGGTGCAACACACTAATGACACGTAAATTTTGATGCACATGTACCTATATGCATTTATTCGGGATGAAAAGCTCTTTGTGTTTTCTTTACAATTTATTTGTAAGTATATAAGTTTTAAATCGTTAAAATCATTTAATTGTAGGTATAGGAAATTAAAAATATAATAAAAATTATTATAATCTATTTAAATATTACTTACATTTTCATCTAAACTTTAAGGGTCGGAACCGTTTCATGTAAAGTTATCCATAACCTTGCTTTTAATTGATTTCACTAAAAGATTTACTTATGTATTCTTCGCTTTTATCACGTATATAAAATGTGTATTAATTAGCTAAAAAAAATCCGCAACGCCAGCCATTATAAACTGTGTAAATATTATATGTTTTATTAAAGTGTTAATAAACTTTCGCTGATTAAAATGATTGACAATGATATTGTTGCAAATATATTTTTGTTGTCAAGAGCTTAATTACATTACTCTAAAATAAACTAACAGAGGCAGATTTTCATGATCCGGATCAAAAAAAAAATACTTCGAAAAAACTATCTTCTACTTACTAAGTTTCTGTTTTAAATTTTTTGTTTGTAAAGTAAAAAAAAGTTTGCGTTTAAAGAATATAATATTTAGTGTGTCTACCAGGCTTACATAAAATGCAGTAGTATATTCACGACTATAAAAAAATGTGTTCGTGCCAAGTTGGCCCCTCGTTTACTGAGAAATGCTGCATGCAGCATGTTTCCAATGAATGCAAGGGAACTTTGTCTCGGTTGGAATGAAATATAGTCATAGATACCAGGGTCACATAAATTACGAGAACGCGACGTGCAGTAATAGAGATGAGGATGTCTTTTCTTTTTTTAATACTGTTTTCATTCGAATAAATAAAATAATACTTTGAATAAGTTTGTCTAACACACACTTTATCTGGACTGGACACAGTCCTTACCTTACAAGATTTATTGAAAGTGAAAAAAATAAATAAACAATATCTACAATGCACATTTATAATTATAATTGGAAACAATATTTCCATTTAGTTAATTAATGGACCAATGCCGATAGCTTTTATAACATAATTAAATTATAGTAGAATGAAACTTATTAGAAAAGGAGGATAATATTATAAAAATAAAAGGAAAAATAATTTACGGGCGATCTGAGGTCGGGAAGGGTATGAGGGTGGGTATTAAAGGGTGAAAAATGGGTTTTCTCGATTTCCAGCAAAACTAAAAGTCCTACGGAAAAAAGTTATATGACAAAGTTGTAGGTAATAAAAAGATCTAAAACTTTTGTAGTAAGATTTTTTCACATTACCTCAAAATTTATAATACTATAATTTATTTTCATTTTTCATTAATTTTAAAGGCGCACTTGCCTATAATTATTATACAAATTTTATTTGTTAGCTTTTTGACATTGCCAAATTTGAGTTCGGTTTTAATTATTATTTAAATAAGTATTTTTTGAGTTCTACGCAAATTGAAAAAATATTATTTAGTTTAAAAAATTAAAATGTTTTGTTTCTATTTTAAAAATCCTTATTTATTCTATAAAGTTAGATGTACAAGGAGGACGCATCTGAAACTAAAAATTTAACAAAAAGTATTTTGATGTTAACTACGTGTATGGATAGAATGTGATAAATTTTTGAAATATTTCTCATTTGTTGGCGTTGTTTTGCAACCTACCTCATATTAAAAAGGTTCCTTCCTATCTATCTATATGTAGGTTGTTATGTATCATCTCTATTTGTTTGCTAATATGTGGCTTTCAAAAACACCAGGAGGCTGGCTATGTATGAAAAGAAACTATTTAGTTCATCATATTGCCTACCAGGAAAACATCATTGTTCAGGAGATTATGACTGACGGTTCTAAAATCTTTATGTTCAATGAATGTTCTTACTACGCCTGTTGAGAGTAGAATTTAATGTTAAAAATTTGTTTTTTTTCTTCATAATAATACCAGAATAGGTGTTTATGTTTTATAGTACAAAAGATTCGTCTTATGACCAAACTGAAATCATGAAATATTGAAATGAAATGATGAAATGAATTAATTTTGATGATTTTCATAAAAGTCTGTAAAATAAATCTATGTATCGGCAGAGAACTAGGATATCATCTGTTTTTAAGAGTTCATTCCTTACACCGGTCAAAAAATATTTTATTAAGGGAAGAGACGAAAACATTCATAATAATAATATGTAATTATTATTAGTACAAATCAAACAGCAATTCCAAGCGATAGATAACTCTTTGTTGATTACATATAGGTACATATAATTTATATTTCAGTGAGCAAGTTCGTTTTTAGGTTTCTCTAGATATCCTTCTAATCTTCATTAGCAAAGGTGTGTAATTTATTTCTCTTATCATATGCGTTTCGGTCTAACAATGAAGCATAGTTATTACTGATGTATCCGATGATGAATATAATGAAAAAAATAAATAAAAATAAATATATATTTAAAACATATTAATTTATCGACGATAACCTAATCACTTGAATTCAAATTTGTACAAAGTTAATATGTTTATATGTATATATGTGTATATTTATGTCTGTACTAGTTTTTGCCCGCGACTTCGTCCGCGTTAATTTCATCATTAGTAATATATGTATAGCTGGCCGGGCGAACTCTATTCCGTCCTAGAGGCCATAAATATTATATAAGGTTTTTCCTGTTTCAATCGATCACAATGATTGACATATTGGTTAGTTGTCAAATCTAATGTCAAAGAAAACATTTGTATGGGAAATAGAAAAGGACTGGTTTTAGGGTTTTCCCGGAAATGAATCAATTTTTCTCACCTTTTAAACTTTCCCTGAACCTCCACGAACATTTCAAGACTAAGATAAGATAAATCCGTTCGGCCGTTCTCGAGTTTTAGCGAGACTAAGGAACAGCAATCCATTTTTATATATATATAGAAGATATAGAAGATTATACTTATATAAACATATGTATATACATATTATATATCGAGCGAAAGAAGTTTTACTTCAGTCGTGTAGTCTAAAGCATACCGGTTTTAATTTTTTTCAATAATTTTCTAATCTCATTTACATATCACAGAGTTTTTAATGATCAAGCTACCCAATAAAACATATGTATGTATATTTGGAGGAAGTTTGGTTATCCATTAATTTAAGAAACAAATTTTAATAAGTTGAGTGGCTTATAAAGGAAATAATAATTGTGTGATTGATCCGTATAATAAAATAAAGGTTAAAGTTATCTCAATATAAAGTTAAAGTTAGTGAAAATGTTATTTCCACTGTCGTGTTGTTTACACCATATTGAAAATTAAACGAACATCGCCGGAGCCTAACCATTGTATAAATTAAATATGAGACCGCGTAAAAAACAACAGGCCGTGTTAACCAGAAGATTCTTTCTATCCTTACATCCTGGCGAGAATCTGCATGTAGTTTTAGGTGTGAACGTGAAATGCACTCTAAATTATTAATGATTAAAATTATAAGTTAAAATATCATTAAACTGTCAAATTAAAGCGCCTTTAGTTAGTTGCGAAAGTTTAATTTAAACTCAAACCGAAGATTCAGATACCAGGACATCATAAACTGAAGGAGACGATAGTTGAACGAGATATTGATTTACAGACAGTGAAAGTTCAATGAAAGAGACGGCACATATATATCGCTTCGTTTTCGAGACCCGTGAAGAGATTATACAGCCAATGAAATTTCCGCTATGAAATATAATCCGAGGTTTAACGGATTATTTGTTATTGAAATAATTATTACTCTGGTTAATTTTAGAACGGTTTTAATTTATATTTTATTTTTACTTCTAATGTTTAAGAATTTGATAATCGTTTATTATTTTCATACTCCATTTTTCTCTAATTCAAATAAAAATGCGTAACTATCGTATAGTAAACTGCATAAAATTCTTGTATGTTGGTTGTAGATCCAGTTTTCTTGAACTGTTTCTAGATGATAACAACAAATAAGATTTTATATATGGCTCATTTAATTTGTGCCATAAAATAAAATTCTATTTATAAAATCAACATGGTGTTTCTTATTACATTGCTTTTCTCTATAAAAGTCATTATTAGTTATAGTTATAATTTTTATTCTTAGTTTATCCTATATATCTCCCTAACAATAGCCCAGATATTCCAGTAACACGGGTCAGTGACCAAGTGTTTCTGGGGTATGAAAAAAGTCAGTCCGTACTCAGTCAACTCATTATCCGATTCCAAAAACTTCCTTACTATTCGACAGGTATTCAAAATAGCAGCCTTTTTGTATGTGAGTGGATGTAAAACAAAAATTTTTAAATACAAGATTTAAAAACGAAAAAATCATTAATTATTTTATCCATCATTCTTACAAAAAATCAGCAAAAAAAAATATTTTTTATTTTATAAAGTACCAGGAGCTCATAAAAGCTGTGGAAGTTATCGTAATAATCAGAGCACAATATTGTGTTTTAGGCTTAACCCACTACGAAAGTTCTTTACTATAAAACAAAACAAAGTCTTGATACATCAATATATTTTCGAGTTTATAGAAGGTTCCAGTACGGGTATATAAATGATAGAGTGCAATTATTTTAAAACGTATTTATTATATAAAATTTATTAATAAAACAAAAAATAATAATAAATGAGCGATTTACTTTGGTAGACGATTAAATGAAAAATAGGAAGCGTGATTTTGATAGTTTTTTTTTTGCGGGGAAGTCATTTGAGTATTATAATTATCATTGAAAGGGTGCGTATTAAAGTTATGTCTTAATCTATGACTAATTGACGGAAGGATCCGTCAATGCCGAAGAGTTCGTCGTAGTTGGTCGGTTTCCCCGGCCTGAGAGCTTCATCTGCCTTGTATTTTTCCTGGTCAGCGAACCAATCTTTATATTCTTCCAACTTCTTCAGCCATGCATCTGGAATTTGAATTTAATTTTATATATAATTTAAAATCAATACTAGTAGCATCCATTGTTGTTTAAATATTGTCAAATTTTTATACATCTACTAGGACAGAAGAATAAGAATTCAAATTTAATATACAATTATACTATTACATAATCTTACTTTAATTTTACATTATCAGAAAGTTTATTATTTTAAATTCTAATCTACTTTAAATAATGTCAAATGTTATGTCAATGTCAAAACAGTAAAAGGTCTAAATTCATGAAAAACTCGTTTTAGTTTGAAGTTTTAAACTTAGTGTACAGTTAAGATTATTCTTATATAAATTATGTTTAGTATTGTTTAATTTATTATTTATAATTATGATAATCAACTCACTGTGAAGTTCGTTCATAGGTCCCGCCTTGCCGCCGTATTCGCTTGGCATCATTTCCTGTGGCACGTGCTTGTAAAGATCGTTGATGTCGCTGTGAATGAAGATCTGTAGAAAAAAATACATATAAATATATGTATTATGACAGAAGTCACTTATGCCTATTGATATGTCATTAATCATTACCCTTTCCCTGATCTTTTCTTTTAAGAACGGCTTCACGAACTGCACGATTTTGTCAACTAAAGGCGATATGTTGATCACGTGCACTTGTTTTAGTTTCACCGGGTATGCTTCCTGGGAAATTATAAAGAATATTTTAATGTATCAACAAAAGTTTTTCTGAGTTCTCATGTAAAATTTTTATATTGCAAAAAATAAGGTTACCTGCACACAGACGAGGAATTTCTTCACCAATGTCGGTGTGAATTTTGCGAAATGGTTGGGTGTTGCCACAGAGGCATCTAGGATGTAGATATCTCCAGCCACTCCTTCCTTTTCCTCCTTAAGCCTGACGTCACCCAACATCAGCGCCAACTTGAAAGCGTTCGCCACATTCGGGGTTTGAACGTCCTTTTCCACTCCTGAAAAATCACGCAAGAAATGATGCTATTAACATATAAAAGTTATAAATAATTAAGCCTAGCAATAGATTATTGTACTGAATTTACCTCTCATCAGGACTACACGACGACCGTCGGGCGTCAGGCCAGGTAGTGGTGGCATTTGACTGTAAAATATTAAAATATTTATCAGGCAATTTTAGTATACATAACAACTCTATGGGTTTGAGTTCTCTACGGGTACTTGTGTGTATAATATGTAACTATACAACGCACACTATGTAACAATTCCTTTGCAGTTTGCAGCGTACACATCCTCTGTTTCTATGTTCTCCTGGTACTTGTTGTTAACGGGACGTGACGTAATAGGGCCACAGCGCACTACTTCTATTACTAAACTATTTTTTTACTCCTCTGATTGTTGTGAGTTTAATTTATTTACTTTTAGATTGTTTTTTGTCAATATGGGAAACTATTCTAGAATAGAATTCTAGAAATTCTAGAAATTCTAGAATTTACAGAAAGTTGAAAAGTTTATAATGGTGTCAAATTTATAAAATCATGTTATTTAGAAGATATATTTGTAAAAATTCTTGTAATAAAAGTTTTACTTTCATATTATGTATTAGTTTCATGTTTCCCTAGTATCCGGTAGTTGCGTGGGAAAAACAAATTTCCTTGTTTCGTAAAATAATAATTGTAGTTAAAGAAAAATTAAATTGGCATTAACAAAGACTAATGTAGCGTTTAAAAAGTTTAATGTGTCTTAATTTTACTTTTAATTGAAAACGAATTGTAATAAAATACATATATAAATATCGCTCGTGTCTAATGAAATTACATTCAATACGGAATTAGATAGAATATGTATTAGTAGTATATCTAGTTTTGTACTGATGTTCATAAAGTATTTATATACTAGGAAGACTTATTATAAATATTTGTTGTTTCTCGTATACTTACACGATCTTAGTTATTTCTTGTAGTTCGGGACGGGAGACGTCTCGGTCATTGAAGAACTCTGGGACAGCTGAGCGCATTGTAAAATACATGTCCAGTTTCCGCTTGCATTTTTCCAGGGAAAACTTGCAGCCACGGAGGAAGGTCATGATGCGCTGGTCATCTTTTATAGAATTAAAAGGTATTTTTATTATTATTAACCATTACGAATTTGGGATATGTGATAGACAGGCTGGCATTTGTTTGCGAAATCGTGATAGGTTTATTGTATGAATGATGAACCTACCAAATTCATCAGGTAGATGTGGCTCCTTCTTCAGCCACTCCTTGATGTGGGCGAGGTCTTGTTCCCTGGTGTCCGGGTTCTCATTCAGTTCCTCACGGATCTTCTGCCACATCTCACCAGCTGGCTGTTCTAATGTCATCTTGGGTGGTTCTGTTGAAATTAGTGTCTCCTTAGACTTCATTTACAAATTATGTACTCCTATAGTCCATTTAAAAGCTTTTAAAACAGGTTTTAAAGAATAACATTAAAACTTTTTTTAGGACTTATTTAATCAATTTTATATATAAGTACACATTTTATATACCTAATTTGCGATCCGAAATGTTATTCTAATGTGAGTTATGACCGTTGGGTAATTACCGCTATTATAAGGCAACTAACATTTGTAAGAGTTGAAGCGTGCACGATTTTATAATCAGCTCATATTGGTACTGTTGTTACATAAAAATCATTGCATAAGTATGTTTATGACTCTTCGTCATAACTTTTTCAACGTCACCTAAAAAGGGGTAATGAGCTATGTTGGTCTATCTATGGTTATCCGTGCATGACTTCGATGCATATAGATAATTTAATTCTATTTTCGGTACTTGATAAAGTTTCTTCTAATAAATTTTTGAAGACCTTTTCTGAACTCAATTTATAATGTTAACAAATTTTACAGTTAGAACATGTTCTCAGTTTGTCCTATGTCAATAATTTTTTCATTGTAAACCATTGCTATTTCTTTAGATAACATTTAAGTTGCGTGTTAAATGAAAATTACATGAATATTTATGTCATGGAAAACTAGAACGTCGATTCGAATGTTACATTAACAGATGTATCATATTATTGTTAGAAAGTTCTTGTAACACAATTCGTCTGGTCGTGCATCGTGATAGCGCTGCCCGAAACGGTTCACCTACTTTCTTTATAAAAAAAATAAACGAAATTTTTCGACTCATTCACCGGAACGTTCATGCTAAAGTAATTTTCAGTGGTTTTTGCTTTCACCGCTATTAGGAAATATCTGCACGACCGTTAGTGGTTAATTATGTCCTTCTAATGAGCTCCCAAAATTACTCGGACGTAGTTCAACTAGCTATATGAGAATATTTTTTATATCTTCGACATTGTACTTTAAAGAATATAAAAATTGTCTGTAAAGCTTTTAAAGCGCCATCTGGTTCGTTTACGGAATATTAAATACATTTTCTAAATGACAGAAGTCACGACGCGAAGATTGAACATTTGTGGGGATAGAGGGCATTTCAGTACTTCTAAAGTACAAGAAGTGTAAGAAAATGCATATATAAAAAGAAAAATGAAAACTTCAATGTACAAAACAAGTAATTATTAATATAAATAAAAGGGAATGTATTGAATAGTTTATTTAATTGGTGGTCATGTGGACAAAAAAATAATTTTATATATATATATTAGGTCGCATTACTTAGGATCGGATTTAATTACCACATACAGTAATTATTTATTTTTTTCAAATAAGTATTTAATGCGATGAAATGTTACAAATATATGTAATAAAAATAATTATGATCTATAAATAAATCTGTCAGATTCATAACAGAAATAACGAATGTGTGAACGACGTAATCCCAACATAACTTGGTCCACTTGACCCACGCTCAGAGCATACTCGCTTCTGAATCGTGTAAAATTATATTTATTTGAAGAAACGGAAAACAAAAATGAGTAATGTTAAGGTTATAGTTGAAAAACTAGACGGCTCGTAAAGAAGTAATTGTAAATCATAATATTTAGAAAAAATACCATATTTTTGGTAGAAATATCTCTAATAAAGAAATTACAATATAACCTTTACGTTTAAAGGAATTTGTATTATTATTACAGATGAAAACGAATGTTAGTTATTCTATCATTAATTAAATTGCCGAAAAAGTATAGCAACTGATCATGATTCCTATGAAACAAAACTTAGTGACGAGAAACTATACGATTGAAATGCTTGGAAAACTCAAAGAAATTTCTTTACGAGATATGATGACATTGGACTTCTTAAACAAAGTTTATGCTATTTTTAAAGAATGAAGTTAAAAGTATAAAGAATTTTGATGAACAATAGTATTATATTAAATGTAATAGTATATATATTAGTCTAAGTGTCACACAAGTTTCTCTTCTAAAATTTAAAACAATTCGCCATAATAATATACATATATGTAATATTTTATTGAACTATAAAATGAAACTGTGCCCGGTTATTTTATCCAGTAAAAGTATGAATGACATGTCTAATGCAGTTTCACCGGAGGGCAATGGCCGCTTCAATAACTACATAGAATCTTTCGCGATCGTGCCATAATGTTAATAAAAACTGTATTCGCGTTAACCAGGAATTTAAAAAGTCTACATAGAATCCATGAAACGAGTTAGTTTTTTATCTTTTCTCGTATTGTATATAAAAAATATTTATGAAATAACTGCTTTTGGAAATTTTTATCTAAATATTACGACTCTATTTGAGTTGTAAAAATGTTTAAAGTAGACAGATTGTAGTATGGTTTTATATTAATATATTACTGAAAATCGCTGCATAAAAATATTAATAAAAAAAAATTAATATTCACCTTTGAAATCAAATATCAAATCACACGCCAAACTCTCAACGACGGACACACTCTCACTTGACCGCAACGTTTTTGGAGATAATGAAAAGCTTTTTATATGAAAAGTCGTGAATGTTTCCTGCGCGTGCGCAGTGCTGGCTATAATGCGTTGCCGGTAGCGAGCACTTGCTTTTTATTAAATCTTCACGCGCCCGACCGCCCATTGAGGGGAGGCATTCAGATTTTAAATTGACGAAAATAGAAAAAGTTTATACCAACAAAAAATATATATAGATACATCTTTTGTTAGGTGCCCGTAATGGTGTCATTGGAAAAATATGCCTTTTTTCTATAATTCTATTTTCATACTTTATTTGAAGTAATAGAATTTTCTAGGCTGGCATTTAATTTTTTTAATATTAAGGTCATTGTTTTTTCTTGAGATGCCTAATTATAATTCTGATATTCAATTATATGTGGACGGCTGTGTAATTAAATTTTTGGTTAATTATAAATCTGCTTTACGATTGCGCGGAGCTATTGCAAATTCTTATACTTTCTAGTAAATTACTCTAATTATCTTCCAGATGAGATAGATTAAGAGCAAAGAATAACAGTGAATAATTATATTCTAAATTTAGGATTGTTAAAAAAATTAACCAACTGTTAACTCCGTCTTAGTCAAATAAGTTATTCATTAACAACAGTCTTAAAATTGAAGTTTATCTTAATTTTTATAGTATTTTATAGTTGTTTGTAAAGATTATAATTTATTTTATTTTCAGTAATTCGTTGAATCTCTGTGTCATTCTTCTTTGTCGTATTTCACTTACTTTAAAGTTTTACTTGTTATTGTACTTAAAACTTTTAAAGATTTTATTTTATAAAACAGTTCTAAAACGGATGATTCATGGAAGTTTTCTTCAGACTTCTTATTTCGTATGTACTATCCACGCTTTAGATAATATTTTTTTTAATAAATTCGTTACTATTTTGAAACACTTGTTCAATTTTTTTTTTACATTTAATTCATTCTTAAGAAGATATAAATATTATCATATATTTGTATGTTACAAAAATGGCGATAAAATTATTATTATAAGATTATACTGGAATATTAATTGAACATAGACTCAATTTTAAATATAATAAAAATAAGTATAATTAATTGAAATTAAACATACGAAATATTAGCTTTGAGGCTTAATGTATTTTATAATAATAAAATAAAATTAACATCATCAATTCTGATCAAATAAATAGGTACATATTTCGGTTTTGTGAAATTGGATGTTAAGCAAAAAATGTTTGGAATTGTTATTTTTTTGTACAAATGAACTGTTAAAAAAGTGTTGCTGCTACAAAAACTTAAACATAATGGACTTAAAACATAGCTGTAGTTTAAACCGTGTTTATTACGCTTACAACATGATTCAAACAAAATAACACCAATTTCATACAAAACTACTACTTATTTCTTAAGGTGCTATACATTTGAGTCATTTTAAATAGACCTTATTCATACGAACAGAAGAACTTTTAAAATTTTCGGTGAAACTCAGATGCCTGAGCAATCGCTGTACACAATTTTAACAGAAAAATATATTCTATATCCGACTGTTAAAGTTTATAATTCCTTGTATGAAATTAACTTAAGATCAGAATGGAATCGTCATCACCATAATACTTAAGTTAGAAATTCTTAATGACTATGACTCATAGCAGATCATGCCACAGGCACTTAGCAAGTGTTTCCATTACATTTAAAAGCAATATTATATATTTTTATTATTATTTGAAAAATTCGCTTACAATGAAAACCGTAGCATAGATAAAATAGTATGAAATTATCTTTCGATTTTTTTATTCTCGCATTTTTTTTTGTAGAAAATTTAAAGAAGAATTATTGTTTTAGAAGAAATGGATATTTATGGATGAAAATAAAAGTTATTGAAATGTAGATTTTCCAATTCAAATTCCAATATACATATATTCTTAACTTCGTTAGTATAATGGAAACATTTCTCGTGGTTTCAACTTAGTAACATTGCGTGCAGTGATGTACACTATTTTGCTTAGAAGTTGCGAAGATCGTGTTTAATACCTTGGAAAATATAATGCAATATCGTGAATTTAAAGAAAGAATAACTTCTAGTGTGACTAAGATCTTCTAAATAGAAAACCATACTAATAACCAAAAAGTACTATTAATGTTAACGTTTATTACAGAAACTTTTGTACAAACGTTTAAAAGGTGTAATAATTTTTAAATAGTGACAATTTATTTTTACTTTTATAATATATTTTTACTTTTATCTTTTCTTGTAAGCAAGTAAACATTGAGTAGATTTATGATTAAAATGCTTAAATATTTTATTGTCAATTTATAATGTACCTCTCAATTTGCTCAAAGTGATATTCCACTCCTAAAAGTAGTTCTATATAAATACACAAATAAAAAGGAATAATTATTATAAATGAACATCGGTACAACACTTTTGTTATATAAAAAAAAACATATACTAATCATAACCTAATTATTTTCTTGAGAGATTACCAGCGCGTGTCTGATTGCGTGCACATTATATATTACAATATGTTCCCATTGTTTATTCAAATCGTTTTTATATTTTAATTCTTATTTTTATTATAATAAGGTATATTTTAGTTATTTTAGATGATTATTGCAATAATCGTTAGGCTTGTTGCTTGTCAAGCCCTTCTGAATGAAACGTAATCTTTCTATATTGTATCATCTGTATAATAGTTATTAGCAGTTTGAATATGTCTGTTATTAAATGCCTCAATTTGAACAGGACTCTGTTAAGGCTTTATCTTTAAATATACATAAGTATAATAAAATTTATACATATAGTATTTGAAGTTAAATTAACTGAACGAATACAAAATTATCAGGAATGAAGATTGTCAGATGTACAGGTAAAATTATCTTGAATGACTTAATATAAAAATATATTTTATAATATCATAAATATAATATTTTAGTGTAAACGTGTATTACGCTGTACCACGCCACTTAAATCAGATACAATTAGAAAGTGCAGTAACGCTTTGTACGCGTATTTTAGCGTACAATCTTGAATTAGCCGTTCGATGCAATAAAATGTATATATGTACATACATGTAGTTAATTATTTGGCATGACTATTTCTTTTAATATATACTATTTATAATAATAAACAGTTTGAATACTAGTTCCTAAGAATAATTAGAATGTATACGAGATTATAACATAATTGTGTCTAATTTATTATTGTCATAATTAGTTTTTTTAGTTAAGGCCGAAATATTACTGAAATAAAATTATAAGTATTTTATAAAAATGGGATATTTAATATTAAGTGTCCTCACTTTTACCGTACTCATTTGTGGTAAGCCTTTCACCATCTGACTTCGTTAAGCCACAAACAGAATACATATTTATATATTTTTTTATATTTCTCATCGAAATCCCATTTTCGAATAAATATAGTTAGAACAAAAATACATTACTTTAATAAAATTAAATAATTTTGTCTGTCAATTTTATTTGGAATAAAAAGTAAAATGCCATTAAAATTAAACAAAGTTCTACTTTTGACCAGGAGAGCATAATTTTATAGGTATAATAGATATAAAAACAAATGTGTAGTTTAATATATATATATGTCACCAAAGAATAAAAGATTTACTCGACTATTATCTATGACATTGTTTTCAATCAAATGTTTAACATAATTAAATCTTGTAGCAAAACTAAGTTTTTATATAAAAATAAGTATTTCAACTGAATCCATAGGTTTTGTAATAGTTACTTGTACGCTTGTCTGTACATACAAATAGTTTATCAGATTATAATAAAACAATTTAATAAAATATGAAATAGAAATTCATTTAAGCTTTTCAGAAAATACATACAAGACCATAAGAGTTGCAAAGCAGAGACCATTTTCATACAATTTATCCCGATAACATTTTGAATATGTACCGATTTCAATTTTAATATATTTCGTTTCAAAATATCGGTTACTTCCCATCGGCTTTGGTTTCCCTCGTCAAATTGAATTCTATTTCAGTCAGAACCAAAACTACAGAATTGCTAGATAATCTTGTATAAGAATTTTGATTTATATTTAAAGTGAAATCATGAAAGTGTTGGATTTCTAAGGTAGGAAAGGTCAACTCAACAGCTATGTTGAAGACTTGAAATATTCATATACTTGCTAACATTTTCTTAAAGTTATTCGTTTTGTGTTATCTTATAAATTATTAATAACTTTTGCCTTCGACTTTATCCGCATTAGTATTATCATTATATATATATGACCAGGCGCACTGTTTCGATTTAGAGGCAGTAAATAAACAAATTTGGATTTGATTAGCAATTTTTTGGTCGAACCAAGTTTAAAATTTTCGTGTCCTCATTCCAATCTATCTCCCCAAAAATTTTCAGCCAAATTCGTACAGCCGTGCCTTAGTTATAAATAGTGTAACTTAAAGATATGTATTTAAATTTTATTAACTAATTTTTACTCGTGTTATATTGTCATGGTTAAATAAAGTTTTATATCTGTCAAATATATAAATCAGAAACACATGATCGTGATCTAAATACGAATAACTCTACCTTGATCGTTTAGTTATAAAAGAATCAATCTCAGGAGTCTCATTGTTTTTATGCTAATATAATGAAACAGTAAACTTCTTTATTGGGGCAGTACGTGATGAAAATATTCTCTCATACATTCCGAGGACACCAAATGAGTATGAAATAAAATCGATGATGTATATTTAAATATTGTTTACTTCTTAGTTGAAGATTTTATTGTTGCTGGAATGACAGTGGAAATTTGAGTGTCTGTTATATTGTGATACTAGAAGACCTGGCGAACTTCGTATCGCCCTATAATCAAGAAATATCTATTACGTTTTTTTATTTATATTTTTGGAGTTTACCTGTAAGCAATAAATCTCCGTGTTTTGAAGTGCGACAGAATGATTGACATATTAGTTAGTTGTCAAATCTAATGTCAAAAAAAACGTTTGTATGGGAAATATAAAAGGGCTGTTTCTATGGTTTTCCCAGTAATGAATCAATTTTTTTCAGCTTTTGTACCTTCCCTGAACCTCCACGAACATTTCAAGACTAAGATAAGATAAATCCGATCGGCTGTTCTCGAGTTTTAGCGAGACTAAGGAACAGCAATCCATTTTTATATATATTGAAGATTATAATAACCGTTTCTAACTAGGTAGTATGCAGGTGCATATTGTTGTATGTAGAAGTTAATTAAGCCGAAATATTTTTTTTTCCGTCTGTCTACTTGTTCTGGCTAATCTCTGAAATGGCTGAACTAATTTTGACGGGACTTTTATGGCAGCTAATGTAGTAAGCAGTAACTTGGATTCCATTTTATTCAGATCAAAAAATTGAGGATGATGGGAGGCGGGGCTCATGCGGCACTTAAAAGTTATTTCACCATTTTTTTGTTGTGTTTTAAGCAGACGGAGTAGTGGGTAACGGCTAGTAGAAAATAAAAAACGCGTAATTCTACTAAAAGCTGTTTTAAAAGATTTCTACTCGATCGCTATCACATCTGTAATGGTAGGTATCTTGTAATTTTTCAGTAATTTTAATCTGCTAAGTGACACGGCGACCCAGATACGTTTCCATACAAATCAACGATCTATTGAAAATTTCAATTCCACCACTTCTATTAAATCTAAACCCATCCTTCGAATACTAGCTCGCTCAAATTTGTCGCCCGCGTTGAAACTGTCAAAATGTCAAAATGGAGGTTTGCCGTAGCTGCGATTTAACTGTTCAACACTTAACGTAACTGTCATCAGTGTCGAGACGATTTAATAGTTTTGGTAAATCTAACTGATGGATAATATTTAGAAAGATTGGCTTATATATTTCAAGTAAGTGAAGGATTATACGACATAGTTTGACATATTATTATGTCTGACTGTGTTCGCTTATTTAATATAAATTTCAATTACAAATGAATTTTAATGATGGAAAAAAAGGTAAGTATCAATAGGTGATCAATAGGTAATTTTAAAAATTATTAAGGAAGACAATTATGTCATTCGCTGCTTGTGTGCTTATTACAAGTTTTCATTCTCGCAGTACATACGAAACGTTTCTCATCTCTAATTAATAAAATTAAGTAAATGTATGTGAAGTTCATACTATGAATGGAGAAGTTTAATCAATGCAACACTGTGAACGTTCCGTATATAGTGTGATAGTTCAGACTTAGGTTCAACATAGATCATTATCTAGAATCTATTCATATACAAACAAATGAATCCACTCCGGGGATATTGCTGCTTATAGAATACTGTTCAATACTGTGTATCTATGAATAGTGTTGTACTAAAACTGTTTATTTATCTCATGCTATGTTTACTTCATTATAAAACTAGCTTGAATTTGCTATATTTTGATTATTAATTTCAATGAATTTAGTTGTATGTGTAAATTTTTATTAAAGCATTCAAAAGGTATATGATTACTGAGTTTAAATCGAAAGAGAGTTTTATTAACTACATGAAGTAGTACTCTTTGTATTCTATATTTAAGACAGAGGCTTCATAAATTCATGGAAATTAAATTACATATCTATACACAATACACACGTATCAACACAATATTTTGTTACTTGACAATAAAAGTTTAAAAGTCATATATATTTCATTGAAATTCTTAACGTTTTTACTTGCAAAATATTTTATTATAATTCATATTCATACATAGTAATCACGGTCCGAAACTTTCAGTGTTCTGTACGCTCCCTGCGTTCCTTCGTCGTATTCATCACATTTTAGGGACCTACATGAATGTGTTCGTGTAAGAATGTCATACGAGACGCTGGCTCGCAGCCTCCGTACCGATCTCTTTTCACGTTTTATCGGCGGTTTCAATTCCGTTTCGTAATATTTCCTTTCTTCCATTTGCAGCCATTTCGAATTGAGTAGCAGTTTTTTAGTCCATTCGTCTGAAAACACATTGTTGTTTTAGAAATTGTTGATAAAACCTGCATTTTTTTATTATTTATGTGATAAATTAGATTTAGGAACGTAAATAAAATAATTTAAATAGAAATATCATTGTGATATTTCATAGTTTTTATCCTTTGACATCTGATTGTTAAATATTGATACAAGTTATGTCAAGATTTCAAACTTAATTAGGGTTAGTAAGCAGAATTCAATGGAAAGTTCTAGTAATTCACGTTGATATAAAATTTAATACAATAAAATTTTGTAGATAATATAATCAGAAATATTCGCTCAGACTTCGCTTGTTTGAATGATATATAAAACGCAAAGAAAGTTAGTAAAATGTATCGCATATTACGAATTCAATGTTAAAGTTGTGTGAGAAACTGTTTACAAGCGGTGTATAATCGGTTTTGGAATCATTTTGTTTTATTTACTCATAATATAGTGTAACATAGGTTTCATTTATAAAGTTAAATTCCAGTATTTTATTTAAACCTATACAAATATGTATAAATGAATGAAAAATACACTATTTTCTCTTTACAAAATATGTATGTTGATAATTTGCAATTCGCTTAAGCTCGTGATATGTATTATACTCTGTAGATTTTTTACATTCGAATAGGAATTCACATACATATAATAGAATGAAAAATTTATCGATATTCGCAGGGTTCTTGGGACCTAAAGGATAATGTGCTCCCGCTGTTTTACCAATTCAACTAGTGTGCTTCTTTTCGATTCAATGATTTAAGCATTCCATATACTTATATGTTTCTATATACTTATAGTTCTTAATAGTGTTCTTGCACAAAGCTAAAATCTATTGAGGATTTATTGCAATACATATTCAATCGCCATAGCTTTGGTGCTTCGTTTAGTACACTTTATCAATACTCGCAAAAGACTGTTTTCACAGCCAGAAATAAACACATTTTAAGTATTACTAATAATTAAATAATTGTAATGTAAATGATATATAGATTTAACCTCACCGTTCAGATCTTTCATAGCTCCAGCCTTCCCTCCGTATTCATACGGAAGACCTTCCTGGGGGAAACAGTCAAAACCCATGGCGCGTTTAATTTGTTCTGCATCAGCGTGAGTATGGAAGATCTTGCGTCGCCATGGGTACAGTCCCATATGAAGAAGGAGCAGCGACATGGTCTTTAAGCGTTGCGTATTTATGATGTGGATCGCTGAGAACTTTCGAGGGTAAGCGGACTGTAAAATAAATAGAATTATGTTATAAAACAAACTATATATTAAAGATGTAAATATTTAAACAGAATTTCTTGATTCATTATCTTTTTTATTAATCTACAAGTATATTTTTTGATTGTTAGTAGATAGTATTTAAAGTTTATTAAATCAATAAATCCACTCATTTAGATAATTCATAATGACTGGTGTTTTTTGATTACAGCATTGGAAAGAAACTGCTTACTCTTTCTCTTTTTACGAGTATGTTGTTACGTGTTGAAGTCCTTTGATCCAACTTACTAATACAATATAATTTACATTAGCTTTATAATTAACTTACAAAAGTTCTAACAGCATAAAGTATTATAGTTATTTACAGTTTAAAGTCACGTCCTAATATTATAATTTACTAGTACGATGTGACTTAAAAATAACGCCTTGTCGAAAATTTTAGCAATATTTATTGCTCATATTTTTTTACGAGCATCATTTTTCAGTTCATATAAATCTTGTTATACGAGATACGTGAATATAAATTTGGCGGTATTGTTGTATAAAAATAAAGTTACCTTTATACACCAGACGAAATCCCTCCAATGGGATCCTCTGAAGTGGTTCTTAAGATGCGAGGGTTGAAGGTCAGACACGTCAATGAATACCACTTCATCCCCAGGGGTCGGGTCTTCTCGTAATCTGAAAATAAATATAAAATAATGCAGTTATAAATATAACTCTTAGAATACTTATATTTTACTTTCTGATTCACTTTCTACAAATAAAAATAACTGTTTAAGCGTGAAAATGATATGTATGCTTCTGTATAAACTTTAATAAATAATATAAATGCTATATTTGAGTATTTTCAAGAGAAACCTCACCTGATATCTAATATCATAAGCCACCTCGCCAGCAAGGCTTTAGCTGATAGAGTTCGATTTATAGCGGGAGCAGGAAGACGAATAACTGTCATCCGGCTGCCTCCTCTGCTCCTCGCACGGAGAGGCACTATATAACTGAAATAAAAATATATTATATTGAAGCTCTTAAAGATGAATTCAACTGGAAGAGTTTTATTCCTTTAAGTATGAGTCAAAAGAGTCTTCTTTTGAATTAATATGTATAAATTAATTCATTCTAATAAAAGAATTAGTTAAGTAACTTACGCATCCTGGCAGCTTGAGAGAATTTCATCATCATCGGGATATCTTTTATGCCACAGTTCTGTCAGGCCTCCCGGGCCTCTTGCTGTATAGTATCTTCGAGCTCGTTTGGAAGCTTCAGCCTCGTCTCCATCGCAGGTCACAGGAAATATGTTCAAAGTGCGTATTTCGTCTTCAGTCGCCTCTCTCGTCAAGTTTTCACGAGCCCATCGTACTCCAAACGACGCTGCTGGTGACATCCTTAACTTAAACCTGAAATATATTATATTATTCATTTAATCTTCAATTTATATCTAAAATAAACAGCAATCGTTTTCCAAATTGAATTTAAATTTTGCTCGTCTGAACAATACCTATGTCAAATTCATGATTTCGTTGAGAGTCGATAAAAAAAATAAAGCCAGACATTGGTTTTCATTCATTCACTTTGTTAGTGAGTGATTGTCACAGATTAGTTTTTTTTGTTGGACTATTGTTTTTTTTAATTGAAATATCGATCGGCCTAGCTCCACCCTACCACAATAAAGTGTTATGACGCAAAACCCGAACGCCTAAAATACGTTGTTCCTTAAAAAATTCTCAGAGACATTTTCTCTGACGAATACAAAGCGATTTTTTGTAAGTAAAAATCTGGTCTAATGGAATATAAAAATGTTCTATGTTCTAATTTATGAGGTTAGAGCGTAATGACGCTATTTATTGGTATAAAATTTAGGAACACAAAACAATATAAATGCTTTTCTTTTTTTTTTTTGGTATACCCCTATTTATAATTGATTTTAATTATTTTATGTGAATGCTTTTTCAAAACCGCATTTTATTCTTTGTATTTATATACCTTTCCACCCTAACTTTAGATACAATGTATCTGTATTTTTTTTTCTGATTTAGCCTATATGCAATGAATAGAAATCTTTGTGCCCAAATTCCCTTCGATCCCTTCATCCGCTTTGAAACGGCAACAACGTTGAGTAACAAACATCCATCCATCTCCGTTTTTCTATTCATAATAGTGAAAATCTCGTTAGCATTATTAAGAGCAGTTCGAATTATCATAAATCTAGATTTAAGCATCCACACATAAAGCTCAATGTATACCAAAAATATAAAGAAGATGCATCTACTTTTGTTTTAAGGTACTTATTTATTTGTATGAAACAAAACTTTGAAAATTGAAAACTTTAAGTTATTTTCTATTAAACACAACCAAGAAAGATCAAAAAAACTTTATGTATATATGTATGTATACTTAAACAAATTTTTGTCACTGTGGCGATCATGTTTTTATTTAATTTACTTGTAATTTTTATTATTTCATTTACAGTTGACAATAGTTAGTATGAATGCACGGAGAATAAACGTTTTACAGTTATTTAAAAGATATTATTTTTTAATATATAAAGCGGTTATTACATTACTTAGAATTACACTCATCTCTGAACATACATATAATAAATAAAAATATTATCTGCATCAATAATTAGCCACAATAGAACATAACGTATATATTTATATACTATTTATTTAATAAATTTCTATAGCCTAAAGATTTCTACTCGATCAGAATTAAAATACAACACATGTATATAAATCAATAGTCTCAAGTAGCCAATAAGTAGTAATCAAGTAGTCTCAGAGTTCCGGTTTCCTTAATTTTTTTGATAATCTACATCATGAGAATATTTTTCGTAGAATAAACAATCCCAATAAAGATCTGATGATCATTTCATTAGTAATTCTGATGAAAGATACTTCTCTGGTTAGATTCTGACATTGATTTGGGACCACGGCGCTTACCCATTTCATCTTTAATGAAATCAATACTACTTTTTTTGGTTAATTAATTCAATTAGGACGTAATTGATAATAAATAAATGGATAATGATCTAATTTTAAATAATATGAAATATTTGAAAGATTCCTTGCATGTAAAACTTTTTTTTTTGTGAAAAATGTTCTGATAGTATGGGAAAATTCCCATTGTAGAACCAGAGGTACATCGAACAGATTTTTACGTGTACCACAAGCCGTTTGATCTAATTATAATGTCAAGGAGAGACGTGATGGTTGATATTTAGAACCACTGATATTTATGGAAGCGAAACGAACCTTTGAATTGTATTGCGGTTATATTCGTGCTGTATTTTTTTAATCGATGATTTAGAAACAGCGAAAGGTTGACCTTATATACATATTTATGTGGTACATACATTGTAGTTCTATGTAATAATATGTATTTTGCTTAAAACATTGTTTTATATACAAGTTATTACTAATACTTTAATTAGAGGATAGAGGATTAAAATCAGAATAGCATAAAAATAAGATTAATTTGATTTGAACTCCTTCGTTAAATAACAAATACTATGTTATAAAAGAATATATATTTTTTCGAACATCGAAAGCGTATTAAAGCAATTAGTTACGAGAATTGCTCCGACTTATCTGTCAGTTAAAACGTTCTTAGTTCTTCTGACACTGTGTTAAATAAAATTACAGTTTAATATAAAAAAATGTATAATAAAGAAAATAATATGAATCTATTTGTAAAGTAATTCAGTTGTATTCGGTCAACTTAAAAATAATACGTCACAGTCTGGAATTATTAGTATGCTTTATCTGCTACAGATTATAATGAGTTTATCACAGAATTATGTCATTTTGGATAAGCTAATCACGTCAACTAATGCAACTATGTCAGATGACCAGTTTTATAACATTATTAAGCGTTATCTCATATATTATGGCATAACATTAACAGTTTTCATTGAGTTTAGCGTCCAGAATTCGTAGATTCATAACTATTTGGGCAGTCACAATTTTACTAACTACGTACAATTAAAATTATTAATAAAGTTGGGTTAAAGTTTGTATAATATACATCTGTATATTATACAAAGAGTATAATAAACAGATTAGAGTATTTAGGCATCACTGATTAATGCATTCCCAAAGAGGGTTTATGTCAGGCAGGCGGCCGGTGGTAAAAACAATTAGCCAAAACTATTCACAACATGTAAGGCAGACCCTGGCTATAGATGGGAAATTGCCAGGTAGAGGAAGAAGAAGAATATACATCTGTATAAATACGGTCAAATTAAAGCATTGATATAATGTAAATAAAACTACTTTTATACGTTATACTATGAATTTGCTTCCCGTACAATCACGATGGAATTAGACTTCGAATAAAACAGATATCTATTTCATATTTATTTTGTCTTGTAATAATTAAATTTGATGGCAACGCTAGATATTATGTTTTTACACATGTAATTATCAATTAAACACCAATTTTTGATACAATATATTAGATAAGTTTCTATAGCCTTTGTTTATAAAAATATATATTGTATAGATTTTTTTATATTTTAAATATACAATATAGTATAATTTCATGGTACGCAACAATTTGTTAATGCATTTAAGGTGGCGGTAATCGTGGTTTGTAAGGTCGCATGCAAGGCGATTTCCTGTATCGAGTTTTTGCTATTGATAGAAAGAGTACTTGTTAGTCACAATAAACATGGTTTGTGTATTAACTTTATATTTTATAGTTTCACTTAAAGAATTAGTTATTTATGTCGTATTTTCAAAGTATATAAATAAATTCTGTTCTCTTGAGCAGCCTGAGGAAAATATTGTACACGTTTAAGGCTAATCTGTATTTAAAAAACAATAAAAATGTGATCTGAATATATTTTTTTAATGTTTTATATAGAATGTGATGTTATTTCTATCCGTGCTTTAGAATAGCAATTTGAAAACCCGAACGAGTATAAATAAAAACGAGAGTTAAAGCATCAAATTAACAACTTTTTCGTTATAAGTTCTTAATGGTTGAACAATAAATATTATATTTTAATATTTTTTTATTTATATATGCTATAAATTCATTCACTCTGTACTCTGTTACCTTAAAAATATTGCGATAGCTTTCAAAACTGCTAATAAAATTTAACAATGCTGTTTGTAATTGTTTAATATGTGTTTTGCCATAATAGTTTATATATTGTGGTCGAATGCGAGTGTTTCTAAGGAAGGGGAAACATGAGATAGACCGCATTCACGAAACTTGTGGAGGTTACTCTGAAATTCGTGAGAAGCAATGGCGAGATCTGTCTGGAACATTCTATGTACAACAACATCCTAGAATTCATTCATCTATATACAGGGTGACTGGTGAATTACTATCAATATTTGAGGACGTGATATTTGACGATCATATATGACAAAATAAAAATTAATATAACATAAATATTAATAAACTTCTAAGTAAAGTTAACCAAAAGTTATGTAATTAATTACGCATCGTATGAACACCCTACAGATTAGGTATACACACACACACACACAAACGCGTCGGCGTCGTGGTGTTGTATCAGCACGCCGCCGCACGCGTCCACACTTGGAACACTTGGAACGTGTCCACACTTTATTTATTTATACGGAAATTTGGTCAAAAATTAAGTACCTATTTTTTTTACATAATTCGAATGAGAATCATGTACCGAGTATGCTCCTTAAATATTGATAGTAATTCACCAGTCACCCTGTATATTTCTATGCACATATGTTTATTTATCAAAAGTTTTTCTCTGAAATTTCTATATACTTAACGTACACCACAAAAGTATATTATGGTGTTATTTTAAAGCGACATACACGACGTATATAAAAAAATAGTTATTATAGGTGAAAACAATAATATTTATTATTAATTGGACGCATTTATAAGCAATGAATGCTATTCAATAAATATGCTTGGATATATTAAATCTAAAACAGTCGTTTTATTGATTCATTAAGATTGTGGTATCTTCATAGCGTTTTCATTATATCGAGACTGGAGAAACTAATATATTTCTGATCAATACTTTACTTTAGATTCTTCACCGTTATTTCCTTAAATAATTTATGCATAATATCGTATACAGATTATAATGTAGAGAAGATCATAAAAACTTTTTATACCTATTATTTATGTCTAACTTAATTTATTAATTTGTGTTGACAAAATATTTATATACATTTTAAACTACCAAATAGTAAAGGATTTTCAATTAACTTATAATTTAGTTTGTGAATACGAATTCAGTTATTTCATGTCGGTCTGACAGAATTAATTCTCAAATGTGTACGAGCCAGTTTGACGCGAGGAAGTTCGATTTGATTAAGGACTACGTGTACGCCATTACATGTACATGAAAGTGTCATGGGAAGCCAACAATATTTCTCTTAAGCGACTAAAGTATGAGTTTGGATTATTATATATAAAAACGTATTTAGATCAAAGTTTTTTTTATCGTGATTTGCTTCTAATAATTTTTGTTATACAAATCAACTTAAAGACAATGTAAAAAATCTCGTCTCGTCTGCCCGTGATCACGGTTGCCGTAAAGTAACCGAAACGTCGGGAGTATGTAGTTTTTATCAAAAATACAGTCGCGTAGTATATCCGCAAAATATTAGTTTCATTTCAATTTAAAAATATTTGAACTAAAACTACGTCTATCGAATAATTTTCGTGAAATATTCCATAGAAATTTCTTGAAAGCTCTTGTTATTTCATAAAAATATATAATTCGAAACACTTTGTTATCATAGTTCGATTATCATCAATTAAAATTTGTTACATCATGGAAAGAATTATGTGGCGCGAAAATGTACACACGTTAAGTGATTTGAAATTAGTGGTTCGTTATATTTATTAAGACGTTTGTAATGGCGGAATTCTATTTACAAAATAAAAAATAAACAACATTTTAAACATGAATACTCGTGTATTTAATTTAAACGTAGTGGAGATTCGTATAATAGAATTGCAGTGTATAAATTTTATAAGTGTACGTCATTACGCTCTTCTCATTTCATGTCATTGACATTAACAAAACAATAACATTGTTCTTACATATTTTGTCGTCAAATTAACCGTTATGTAGTTACACGACTAACTGAACAGTCAATTTGACATTTATTAATAACCATAT